CTCAATTGAGATACCTGCTTTTTGTTGCATGTTTTCGTTTGTTTCATCGCTCAACTCCTGGCCGGCACCCCCACACTGGCCATCATTATGTCATGCAACACTAATCAGCGAGGTAATAGGGTCACTTTATCGGTATAACACATTTATGAGTAAGTAAGCTGTTAAGTGCATTTACAGGGAGCATTATAGATAAGATAGCACCAATAGCCTTCTTGTTCGTAGGATAACCAGGAAAATTGGAAATAGGTGTATTGATATTTTGGCTACATGCCTTTATGACATTCCGCCGATATCTATTGTTATTCGTTTCTATAACGGCATGTAGCCGAAACACCAATATAACTATCTCTCCGTTATCATGGTTATTGTACGAAGAATGAGGCAATTAGTACTGCATTATCTATACGGTTCTGAATATCTTAATTGTGTTGTTAGACTAGCTGTGCGTGTGGGAATAATGGGCGTCATTTTATCTTTTTTTTCCTTCCGTATTGTCATTGTCATTGGTTGGCGATTGTCATTGGAGCTTCGCGGTGCGCTCAGCTGCTCAGACTATATCGCACCGCCTGCCGATCACCGTAGCACTATGGGCGGCTACTGCGAGCCCGCAGTAGTCCACAGAAAGTGACTGGTCTCACGACTAATAATAAACCTCACGAAACGAAAAGTCCCTGTGAGTAAAACGTCTACCAGCAATAATTATATGTAGATTAGTTATGCATGCTGTCGTTGATGGCGACTGTTGGCTTGTTGGCCCACAGTTTTTATTCGCATTTAATCATCATCGAGACAATGCACTGTCATTAACCGACTTACTGGGAGCAACTGCCAATGGTAGCAAAAACATTCACTCGCTGACAATATGTGGGCCTATACGACACAGACGCTTTCGTCCTAACAAAGGCAGCAAACGTCACTTTACTGGGACTCTGCAACTAGCTTTCACACATTTACACCGTCTCCTGCAGCCTCTTTCACCGGTTATATGGAAGGGTGGCCTATAGTGGTGGTCACTACACACATTCTGCAGGTAATGTGCTACGATCAGACCCTCTCGACTATGGGCGGACAGTCGCACACCTCCACGTGTACATCGACATTTCTTCCAAGTAAATAGCAGCCACCTGGTGAAAGGCTCACGAAGACCTCACCAGGTCGCCCGACGCTCTACTGTGACCGAATTATGCTGGAATCTCTCTTTGGCTGGCCGGAATTCCTCAACGGCTGACAATACAAATTTGCCGGAATCACTCGTCGGGTCACCGGAATTTCTCATCGGTTCATATGTGCGAACGTTATCTTCTGTAGCCGCTGGAATGATTCAAGCAAAAGGCGCTCTCAGTGACTAAATCCACTCCGTAAAGGGCGGTTACTCATGGTCATCTTAGCGAGCCCCCTTCTGTGATCGCAAGCCAATTCACCAACGGAAAAAATCAACCACCTTTCCCGACAGCCCAACGCCTTTTCCTGGCTTCCACTTTCTAGGAGTCGCAAGGAGGTATCAGAAATAAGCGATTTTCACGTTATTCAAGTCGCGAATATATCAACGGTACCCTACATGTGCTAATGCTTCTCTCCCTAGCATCTAACGACGCTTAAAAAGTGCGTCCCACCTCATATGTGAGCCGCGAAGAAGCTGACAAACGGCCGACTCCCTGACTTTTGTACGAAGTGGGACCTTTTAACTCACGGCTAGACAATTGTCTGCGTACTGCGTAGGACTGTCTCCTTCACTGCTCGCGAGTAACCCTCGCCTGTGTGACGTATAGCCTCCCATCTGTCGCCTCCGCGAGATGCCTTCAAATAAAGCATCTGCTTACACATTTAGAGCGTCATGAGGAAAACCGATTGAACTCGTGGAAAATTATCAGTGACCCCAACTTATACGCAATACGAAAACTATGCAAGATAGAGGAATTAACATAAAACACGGACCTAACTACGGCGCGTCCTGCCTTATGGCACAATATTCAGGACGCGCATTATTCATTGATCTGCCATTTTCCTGCAAAGACTTCACAGAAACACATAGAGCAAAACCAGTCAGGTATCAGTACGCACTTAAACACTACACATTTAATACGCATTTGTATATGAGGCATGCTGCTTACTACGGTACGATGCAAACACGAGAGGAATGCACGTCATATAAAGGATCAAAAATTATGCACGAGTACGTAATCACAACTTTCCCACAGAACTTCTTTTCTTTGAGACAAATCACTAGAACGCAAGGTCATACAACATAGAAAAGAGACGGAGGCTCAGGAAACCACCGAAGCGTCGGCGGTTCCTCCACTTAGCTTACGTTTTGTGGAGGTGTAGGCATCGAGTGCCCCTCAGTCATGTGCACGCCAGGCCGATAAGGTCTCAATAGCCTTGCGTTGCATTTATTTACCTTCAGGAAAGGGAAATTTCTTCAGGAATGCTGAGATTACGTACTCGTGTATCACTTCCGATTCATTATATCGTGTGCACTGCTTTCGTGCTTGCATTGTACCGTCATAATCAGCGCACATAACATGCAAATATGTCTCTTGCATGTGGTATCAAATCGTGAGCTGTTTTTTTTTCTATGCGTTCCATTGGGCAATAGGCAGACATAAACAGAAGACTAATTGCATTGCAAAAAAGGCGATTAATGAATAATGTGCGGTGTTAATTTGTGTTTCACAGGACAGGACGCGTCATAGTCAGGCTCATGTTTCTACATCAATACCTTAACTTTCATAGTCCATATGTCGCGTATGGTTTGGTGGCCTTGTGATTTTTTAACGAGTTCAGTCAAATGTCTTTTGAAGCGACGCGCTAAATGCGTCACAAATGTTTTACTCAATGATACCTTGCGGGCAGCGACGGAGGTAGGTCTACGCGAGACAGAAAAACCAGGCAGGAACCTTATCTAAATTGTTAAGTCAACAACAGCGCTTGTGTATTTTTTTCTTTTCCGGAGCCACGTACAGCCCTGTTGATCGCCTTAGCGACTTAGCAAAAGCTTCCGCAGGACAAAAGAAACGCATACATTTCACAATCCTTTTCAAAACCCAAGAGGATGAAGAATCAGTTAAAACAAGACAAATGAAGATTTTTTGAAACAAGAATTACTGCAAAGAATGTGGCGTACCAAACGGAATATATTGACCACCACGACTAGTTCGAAATTCCACGATCCTGGGGGGTTGGGGAGGGGAGGGGAGAGCGCCGACCAAGTGTTGAGTAAGGGTTCGGTGTGGGAGCCGCCCGGCCCGGCAGCGCGACCGAGCCGCGGTCGTGCTCACATGGTGCCTGGTGAACAGGTCCTCCCCGTTCACTCACAGCTGCTATTTATGAAGTTCAATGCTGGGTTACCGTGGGTACGTCAAGGTCGAATGGCCGCTCTTTCTAGAAAAAGGCCTCTACAACCTGACACGTGGGGGTCTAGAGATAGTATTATCGTGTTGCCCTTCCTGAGAACACTCGTGCACAATCATAGGGCAGGTACACTCGTATTGCGCAGTTGTACTTATCAATTGTACGCAGTTGCAGTCGTATTGTTGTACTATCACCGACATGAGTTAGTACACTAGTTGCTATTATCTAAAACCCTGAGTGTTATGACCACGTTGACTTGGACCATACTGTGCGGCTTTTACCAGTACTGACGCCATGTTGGATTCACGACATGTCGCATCCCGTTTCTCACACCGAACCTTGAACTGACTCGTTATTGTTTTAGCCGTAAAACATGCTCCTGTTGGCATCCATTCGTGTACAGCTAGCTATCGCATTGACATCATTTGTTTTTAGCGGTGCACGTGGTATTCCAGCGATGTTGTTGCAAAGGTGCGTTGGTTACTTCGGCTCGGCCGCAGGTGAGCGTCGGAGGGGCATGACCTTCTCGGTTGGGTTGCAGCGATGCTTGGACTTAGCAACGTTGGGCCATGCTGCGGAATACGGTCCTGCTTTTTTCGGCGCGGTCGAACGCGCCCGTAGGCATGGGTTGCGGCTTAGGGGGCGGCGACGGCCTTGGTGACCGCTGCTTACGGTAATGGGTGGGTCGCCTCCCTTTCGTTGTAGCCCTGGTCCCGGCGCGGCAGCCCAAAGTAGGTCGTGCCGCCCTCGGAGGCTCCCTGGCGCACCTGAGCGCTGCGATGCGCTTAAGGTGACATCGGTCGGCTCCGGTTGGTCCGTTTCGCAGCCTCTGGGGAAAATTGTTTTGACAGCTGTTTTTGTGCGAGTTGGGCTTTGGGAATCACGCAACTGCCGTTTTTGGTCGGTGTAGAATCCGTCGAGTGGTCATGACAATATTGCGAAGGAACCCCTAGGGGAAGGCAAGAGCGTAAAATAAGGCACAGAAACAAACGCAAAACTAAAAAGCAAGAGTCTCAAGAAAGATTTCGCTCAACGTAATGGGGGCCAGTATGGGGGCACCGCCCAGGGATTTAACAAGGAAACAAACGAAAGCAAACAAAAAAGTAGGAATCTGAACTGAATCCCGCGCGTAACAATACTTGCCATTTAATTGTATGAAGTAGACTCGTTACGTAATACGCTTCACTCTAACAGCTTGTCAATTGTATGCACGAATATTTCGGATGTTGCGGCAGACCCGCAGCGTTACGCCCCGTTGGTTGTCAGTTGTTTGGATTAGAGCCCTTTCAACCACAAATGATCACTCAGGACTTTGGGATGAAGGAGAATGGCTAACGGTAGAGCAGGACTATATGCGCCTGGGGGCTAACCACTGAGCCTAAGCCCGCGCTGGGACCCCTCGGCGTGTGCGTTAGGCGTCCGTTCAGGGTTCCCCTCCAGGGGCCTCTCAACCCACTCGTGGCTGGCGCATTTAGCGTGCCCCGGATAAGTCGGGGTGTGGCGAGGACTCAGGACAAAGTGAGGTAGAAGATACGGGGGTCGGATGAGCGTTACGCCACGCAGCTAGTGGCTGCGCCGCATTGAAGTCCTGGCATCAGTGACGTCATCACCCTGCACAGTGCGGGTGAAATCCTGAGTCGCAGCCTACACACGGAGTTCCCATGGCCACTGGGATTTGTTGCTGGCGGTTTGTTTCCGGGGGCGTCGTGTGCGGTTGGAAAGGTGTGTGTTGACATGAACATTTAGTTTTCATTCGACCTCGAGCATAATAAACGGTTTATGAGATATGTGATCGTTATGACAATGGAAAGCTTCTCCAACACGTTCTTTGATTTACGTCTCTGCGAACTCCCCTCGCGCCCGTCGCTAAATCAGACCAAAGCGCCCACAAAGGCCCAAAGGTTAAACAAAGGTTTGAAAGATGAATTGGCATCGCTGACTGTTCATGTTTATTTAGTTTTTTGTGTCCACATCAATTGATTTTGTTGCGTATTGTGGAAAGTGTTTTGTAGCCATACAATGAGAGAACAATTTCGCGGTTTTTATGACATTTGGTTGATGGATGGAGTATAAGGGGAAACCTGTGCCAATCCCTTCTTACTCTATGTTTTGTCCTTCTGTCACTGTCATTTAACTACATTCATCATTGAACTACATTTAAACAAGGTAGATGTTTTGCCTTGGAATCAACTCGCTTTGCACTAAGCAATGTTGATGGGAATGCTGTTATCTGTGTGTGTAATAGTGAGGAAGGTTTCAAGCATTTTTCAGTGAATTATATGGTGGCATTGTTTTATTACAAGACTGCTGTAAGTGTGAAGATGTACATCCAATAGATCTAGTGTTGTTTTAGGCTGCTCTAGGATTTAAATGACAGTCTCTACCTGTTGGCATTATTAGGGGTTTTAAGTAATAATTAGGAAAGAAAAAGGTATGTTGTGTCTTAACTTATTGAGTGTTTATGTCAGCATGTTAGTTAATCAGCCTTTAGACCCAGAAAGGTGTGGGGAAAGTGCTGCGCTAGGCTTGTTCTTGCTTCCTTTCAACATAAGAATCATGCATGAGGTTAAGCAGTTAGAAGTGTTAACAGCCCTAGCCATCTTATGAACCCAGTATACAACAACTTTCAAGTCTGTGATGTAGGCATGGCAGAAAGCCAAAGCAGTGAGTCATTCTCAGAACCTGTCAACACCTTACAGAGCTGGAGAAGTGACAACTAATTGACAATTACCTGGGTGTTCCTTACATACTTATACAGGATATCATGTTTTGCTTGTATTTTGACACAGGCTCTGGCCTCACATTTCCCAATTTTGAAAGAGCTGGCTATGACTTTGCCTTGTGTGTGTAAGTTTGGGGCCATTGACTTTGGATACAGGTTCTTGATTTGAAAATGTGAAGCTATTAGTTTTTGCCTTGGTTTTGCAGTTCCAAAGGGTCAAGCTACTTGCTTTGGCTTCAGTTTCAGCCATAAATCAGGTTCTTATCTAAGCTGTGACTTGAGTCAGAATTCTGGCTTGAAAGTTATTTGAGTTTTGTTATCTGTGATTGACCAGTATCCTGCTAGCTATGGCAGATGTAACCATACAAACAAACACTGGTGTGATAGGTTTGCTCTGCGTAACCTTAGGTGTTGTTGCCATGGCAATATATCCACATACAACAGAACAGGTATCCATGTTCAGTGTGTATGAAACCAATGCAAGCTTACTAGTGCTCATTAGGGTAGCATATATGCATCATGTTGATGTGCTGCATGAATTAAGGCAATGTAGATGTTTGCAGTTCAAGGCATGTGATGGCAAAGTGTCTCAGCAATAGTGCAAGTTTTTGAAAATTAAGGAGCATGATTAGTGGTGTTGCTACATAAGTAAACCTAGGCACCACAATCTGACATTTATGTGCAGGTATCATGTCAATGTTGTGCTCAATATTTTGTTCATTATTATTCTTAGAAATGTCCTTGGGTGACTAAGAAATGGTGCACTACTTTTCAGAACTGGAAATGTTGTACCATAAGTTTAAAATTGTATGACATTTTTTAGCTGGGCATTGATCAATTATTTGGTCCCATTTTGTGTATTGCAGGTGATTTTATCAAGCAAGCCAGTGTTCAGCACTCAGTCCAATCACAATGGCTGCAGATGGAGAGAAGCCAAAGGCCAAAAAAGGTACATGGCTCTGCTGGATGCTGGCAAATAGGAAATGTTTGAAATTAAGCCCTAGAAACAGGTCATTTTGCACCTGGCCATAAGGCATGATGCTGGATGATCCTGCCCCCATATTGTTTCCTGCATTTCGTTTTTTATGGTGGGATGTGCATCATGCCTGTGACACAAGTTTGGGTGCTGGAATTTTCTCACTGTTTGCTTATTTTTTGGTGAAGTATGCTGGTTGAATAGCTGGATGTTTGATAACAGCTGTTGAAATATATGTTTATCTTGCAGGTCCAGTATTTTATGGAGGCATCCTGACATTCATTGGGGGTGTGCTCCTTCTGATGTCCTTTTCAAGGTAAGCATCATGCAACATTTGCATGTCAATTAGTTGTATTTGATGGCAATGACTTATTTGTTAGCAATCACTAGGTCCGGTACAAATAATAAGATGTCATAAGTAAATTTGGTGAATATTTTTAAACCAACCTTATGGCTGCGTGCCATCAGACAGCTGAATGATTGGTGAATGCTGATCCTGTTGTAGCATTGTTTGGTACACACAACAAATAAATGCATCAACTAATCAGATATCACAGTTTTACAGATTGTTATTGTTTTGGATGCCCCCAGCCCATATTGGCTTCAATCCTACGAGATCGCGTACCTCGACTTCAAGAATATGGGCTTGTGGGAGTTCTGCTTCTTCAACTTCCGCTTTCCGAACAGCCAACACGACCACAAGTTTAATGGCTGTCACCACGTCTTCAGTGACGAGTACAGAATCCTCCGCGAGTGGATTTTGCCCGGTAAAGTATGTGCGATGACCGTGTTTTGTCCATTGTGTGTTATGTAGTAGGTGACTTTAGACTATATCTTCACTATGCTACTTATAACTTGTTTGCATTTATACTATTCTTTAAGCTCAAGATAACATACATTTGTTTGTTTGTAACGCTGTAGCATTGTCAGATGCATTGAAAAAAGAGCAGCTTAGTTTATTCCGAATCAGGGGGCATGCTGCGTGCCCCGTCTTGCAAACTTGGCATTGGCCGACTGGCGGTGACCCGCGGCGCCCCTGACCGCTGACCTGTCGGCGCACGGCCCGCCCTCAGCCCGGCTGCAGTCCGGCTGGCGGTGACTCGCGGCGCCCCTGACCGCTGACCTGTGGGCGCACGGCCCGCCCTCAGCCCGGCTGCAGTCTGGCTGGCGGTGACCCGCGGCGCCCCTGACCGCTGACCTGTCGGCGCACGGCCTGCCCTCAGCCTGGCTGCAGGCGGTGCAGGCGTTCGTGAGCCTGGCATTCCTGGCCAGCTTCTCGGCGCAGATCGTCGTGTCGCTGATGCTGATGCGGTGGCCGCTGGTCTTGTGGCGCCGGTTCCAGTACGAGACCACGCTGACCACGTTCTTCTTTACCGTCTCGACAGGTGGGCACGAACGCCGCGAACCCAGTGCGCGCGCCGCGCAATGTTGCGCTTGCGATCTGCGCGTGAGCTGGCGCTGTTGTCTCTGTTGGCGCGGAGTCTCGGGTTGGGCTGTCGTGCGATCCGTGGCGCGGTCATTGAGCCGCATTGGTGTTCTAGTGCTGGTGCACCCATTCAGTTGGGTGTCTTCTGTAGATGGATGCACCCCGTTGCATTGCGACGTTCAGTCTGAACAGGCTCGCTGTCAGGTCGGGACACTCGCTATACGTGACGTGAATGGGGCAGTCATACACAGACAGCCTCCCAGCCGCCCGTCCCGCTGCGCATTGCGCACCCCGCTGCTGGGGTGACCTGACCCCTGTCCCGCCGCTCCCTGTGCGCCCCGCTGCTGGGGTTACCTGACCCCTGTCCCGCCGCTCCCTGTGCACCCCACTGCTGGGGTGACCTGACTTCTGTCCCACCGCTCCCTGCGCACCCCGCTGCTTGGGTGACCTGACCACTGTCCCGCCGCTCCCTGCGCACTCCGCTGCTTGGGTGACCTGACCCCTGTCCTGCTGCTCCCTGTGCACCCCGCTGCTGGGGTTACCTGACCCCTGTCCCGCCGCTCCCTGTGCACCCCGCTGCTGGGGTGACCTGACTCCTGTCCCACCGCTCCCTGTGCACCCCGCTGCTGGGGTGACCTGACCCCTGTCCCGCCGCTCCCTGTGCACCCCGCTACTGGGGTGACCTGACTCCTGTCCCACCGCTCCCTGTGCACCCCGCTGCTGGGGTTACCTGACCCCTGTTCCGCCGCTCCCTGCGCTGAGGTGAACTGACCCCTGTCCCGCCGCTCCCTGTGCACCCCGCTGCTGGGGTGACCTGACCCCTGTCCGCTCGCGTTGGCCCTGTTTCCTGCCTTGTTTTTTTAGTGTCGGCGCTAACTATCCCACGTCCGTCAGCGGTCAGCCTGTTCCTGGCCGTGGCCGTGTTCGGTGGTCGCTGCTGGGACCGCAGCTGGCTCATGTACCCGAACTACAACTACCTCTCCTGGTCGTACTACATGGCCATCTTCTCGCTGGGCTTCCACGCGCTGGCTTCGCTGCTCTTCGGCATGGTGAGAGCGGTGGCGCGGGCGCACGCGGTCCCGTCTTTGGCGACCAGTCGGCTCCCGGCTCGCGCCTCAGTTGCAGGGGTTCTCTTGACGCGTGCGGCCTTGATAATCGATTTTCAAACCTGGTAGTGCAATGTCGCTAAGTAGGTGCAGCTTGATGAACGGGCTTCCCTACCTCACGTTTACTGAACGACATATTGGTGGCAGGAACTAGTATTGATGTACAGGAAAATGCACAAATTTATGTCATGCTATAAACCCTAGGGTACGTATTGCATAGATTGTAGAAGTTCTTGTCGGTTATAAGTGAACTTAGACTTGATGTGTGATGTGCAGATTTAGCCCCATCTCGTGAGTAGAATGTACCTTCTCGTTATATTTTAGCCGGGAGCGACAGTGGCATAAAAACATGCCATCTTTTTATGTGTGATGAGCGTCGCATTGTTCACGCGTCAACGCTCCCTGTGCCAAGTGTAGCAGCGCAGCTACTGGACTGCGCGGTCACGGATGCGGTATGGGACGTGATGAGTTGTCGCGCGTCTTCATGTTTGTGACTAAGTGCTAAACGCAGCCGGTTTAGTGCCTTAAACGGATCACAGCTGAATATGAACGCGTCCTCGATCAATGCTCCCCGCATGCCGGCGTGTGGCTCTGTGTGCCGAGTCTGCGGCTTCTGCTTCGCAGCGCGGTCGAGCCGCGCCGGCCCGGACCGGCCGGCTCTGTCCGTGACTGGCGCGGCGCCGACGGCCGCCGGCCGCCTGTGCCTCGGCGCCGGGCCCGTGGTGCGGGCCTCGGCTCGCCGGGCTCCGCGGGCTGCCCGCTAGGCCTGTCGGCGTCGGGCACCCCTCACGTGACCCGCGCATGGTGCACTGACTCTGTGGCGCTCCCGGTCGCAGACTGTAGCGGGCTAGTGGTCCGGGCTGTCGCCATGGACGACCGGGTCTCTCTCTGTCCTCGCATGCGACCTTTCTCCGGCTTTCTCTCTTTTTGTACTCGCTGCGCTCCTGGCACGTCATCTCCCTGTTGCCTTTGTGCCCTCGGAAGTGTTAATTTCCTCCGTCACGTCTCCATGTTTGCCCTGACTCTGTCCTTCCTCCTGCCCTCTCCGTTTCCGCTCTTCCTGAGCCCGGCCCGCAGTCGTCGGGTGGCAGCGGCCCGGCCCGGCCCGGCCCGATCGGCCGCATGGAACGCCGCCTCCGCACGACAGCCGTCGCCCCTCGGCTGTTCTGATGATGCTGTTACCGCTCTGTCGTGGGCCGCCCCCGCGGCACCCGCGTTTCCGCCCGCACCATAGCTCCACCCCCACGGCCATCTGTCGGAGGGTGTGCGTCCGCTCCGCCTGGCAGTCTCCCAGCGGCCTTCGGTGTAGCGTGGGCCGCCTGCGACTCGGAACGCCTCCTGGCTGTCGTGTTCTCCTCTGTTTTCTCTGCCTCTGTGTCTGTGTTCCCACTAACCGGGCCGTGGTGTGGATAGCTGGCCGCTGGTGCGGCGACGGCTGGCCTAGCACTAACAGGCACGATGACGGCTCGCCGCCGCGCGGGGCAGGTGTCGGGCTTCCGCGGCCAGCAGCAGGGCCTGGCGAGGGAGGCACAGGGGCGTGGGTAGCATTGCACATCGCTAAAAGGGGCCCTGCAGATACAGCGCGGCTGGCGCGGGATGTTGTGTCACGTGAGCTGGAGGACGTTTGGCATTTGGTAACGCTGAGCCGACCCGCCTCACTCCGTCCATTGGTCAGCGGCTGCCGTCACGTAATTGTGCCTAAACAAGGCACCGAGGAGGCTCCAACCTTCGGGGATCTCTGATAACCGCCTCGAGTGCCGATTGGCTCAATCCTGATGACGGCCGCCCCGATTGGTCGGAGTATACTTACGAACAGCAGGCGAGCGCTGATTGGCCCGCCGTGACCTTGACGGTGGTGGCGGGCTAATGCGCGCTCGCCGGCGCGGGGCCGCTGGCGCCGGGTTGGCTGACGCGGGGCGTCCTGTGCACGTGTTATAGGAGGCGTACACGATCCGGCAGCGCAACTCGCAGCAGGGGAACATTCTGATGCACATGCAGCCAGCTGAATCTCACCACGGCTCAGCCTACATCTGATCCGAATCCATGTAGGCGCGCCGGCCAACAGCCGCTCTCGCCTCCGACTCACTCTCTGTCGGTGCTACCTGTAATTCTTACTGGACTGGGGCTTTCATGCTCTCGCTCTCTTCCTGTCTGTCTCCGTGTCACTACGTGTGTTCTATGCCTTTCATGGAGCGGTGTGTCGGGGGGCTGATGTCCAACCGTTGCAGTTCCCTTCCTCCGTTCCCCGACACATCTGTCAGTCTTATCCCTTTGTCGGTATCCCGTGCGGCGCTCTTACAAGCAGGTGCGTTGCTTACAAGCAACGCCCGTCCCAGATCGGCTTCCATATACTGAGAACGGATGAAAGTTCCGGACGGCTTTCGCTGATCGGTTTTTTCCTGGTCTGGTGATGGCGGACTGCGACTGAATTATTGCTTTGGGCGTTTGTATATAAAATGCGGCACTGTACAACCACTCAAGTTATAAATGCTCTGTCATCGCCTAACATGTGAGACACTGATATGTCGGATGCAGTGGTCTACACTTTCAGACGCATGTTCTCACTTGAATACGCATGGCCAAAGGTCGTCTTGACAGGGATCGCGCACTCGGGCGTGATTGGTCAGTTCTTTAGCCTGAGAAGGCAATCGTACCGTTGTTGCCTTTGTGTTAGTAGAACGGCTATGCGCTTTACTCTATTTGAACCTTGATTTTCCTTTACTGGGAGCAAGTTTCGTTCACTGAGATAATGTCATGCATAGTGGCATGTGTATTGTACATCTGCCTAGTTTGTGAAAAACGTGTTCGGAGCCGCAAGTCGTCCGCAGCGCGTTTTTCGGCACGGCCGCCCACGAGGAAAAATATTGATTTACCGCTATATTTGGATCTGAATGTCCTGCCAGGTTGTCACTATATGTGTCAACGGTCGGCTGGTTGCACACCCTGTAAATAAATAAATTGCGGCTTTTCCAAATGATGGTCGCATTGCAATCGTGCGACCTATACCACCTCGTTCACCCTGTCACTTATGACCTTAACCGAACCGTGGAGGCACGGAGTATGAGCTAATTGACTCCGCAGAGCATCACGTACGCATTACAGTGCGGACGGTCCAGTTTTTACCTGGGATGAGGCATCTGTATGAGGCCCCACGCGACCACCTTAGTTGTCGAGCGCGGCCGTTTGTCAGCGCCGCCCGCGAGCGCGCGGGTGCTGGCCCTGATATCCGGCGGCGCGCTTCCAGCCGGCTGTCGGGCCGGCGCCATTGTCCTGAGCTCCGCGCCCTGGCCACTCCTGACGTTCCGCTTACCAGACACACCATATCCCCGGACAAACTCAGCTGCCCCGGCGTCACCCCAGTGGCGGGTCACTCGCTCCCTATTTCTTCTCGACTCACCGCTTCTCTAGGTACAAACATTTCTGATCCGTGCACTCTCTGGTGACTTTGGATTGTGTTGGGGAAGAGGGATAACTCGTGTGGTGCTACCTCTCTCAGATTCAGCAGAGTTGTGGATCGCGTAATGATTGGTTAATGTTTATTGCTTGCAGCGGGGACTGCAATACCCGCGCCGAGTTATCGTCACGACCATGTGCACCGAACGAGGTTCGATAATGTGGTGCCAGCCCCGATCCGATTTTTGAGTGGGAAAGGCGGCCTATCGCGAGCGGCACCTGCCGCACTGTCTCGCGCCCGTGTACCGTCCGTCGCGTGGCGTGTGGTGACCGTCCGCTACGTGGCGTGTGGTGACCGTCCGCTACGCGACGTGTGGTGACCGTGTGCCGTGTTGTGACCGTGTGCCGTGTGGTGACCGTCCGCCGCGTGACGTGTGGTGACCGTCTGCCCCGTGCCATCGCAGCACGCGTACCAGGTGCGCCAGCAGCAGGCTCTGCAGCCCAACGACTACCGGCTGGAGCAGTTGAGCCAGGTCGGCAGTCTGGGCTACCCGTACTACGCCCCCTCCATCGCCACTCCCTCCCCGACACCGTACGAGCGCGTCGACGACAACCACGTCTACGTGCCCGACCCGTCCGTCGGCGGGTCGCAGCGCTATTAAAGCTTTGGGCAGAGGCCAATTGTAACGCTGATGGCGTGTTTACCGTAGATGTGCGTAGTGTGGTGTCATTCCACAGTGTTGTGATCTGATCGTAACACAGTCCGTCCTGACGTGTGTGCCTTGAGGTACTGGGTCGCAGTATGTACGGCGACGACAGTTGTTGATAGTGGCTCTGATCTTCAGATAGACTAACTCACGCACATTCCTCGCATGTCCCAATGCGCGTTTGGGAAATATTTTGTGCACGAAGGCTTCAACTCTTACGACTCAAGGAAAAGAGTGCTGCAACCGCAACCCAATAAATGCGCTACTGATGTTTTTATTCATGGCCAATGTACGTACACGGTGTCATGTTTTAAGCCGTCGCGATGTCCACGTCGCGAGAACTTCCTTCAGTTGTAAGTTTGTTCCCCGCTTGGCCTAAGGAGTGCATGTGACCTTTTTCCGTTGGGCTGTGGTGAGACGCACCCATTTCGAAGGTCGCAGTGTGGATGCTCCGGGGCTGTTACCGCTAACGATTGCACCCGCTTGGCTATGTTCACCCTTTTTGTTGTGTCGCGCCCTTGATGCTCGGTCCGGACCGCGCTTGTGACGATCTGAGGTGAGTGGCGCGGCGGGGGGGAGGGGTGGGGGTGTTCGTGTGCCGCTGGCCATGCGAGCCGCCGAGCACGCGCGTGGTGTCTGGCGCGGCCGGCCCTCATCACGTAATAAACTGCACCAGAAAACGCCAGCCGAGGATGCCGAGTGGCGCCGCACGCAGCCCTGGGGCCGCTGACCAGGCCGACCCACGGGCGCGGGGCGCCGAGCCGGTACGCCTCGTGTGACGACATTCTGCGGACGAGCGCGGCGGGGTTCGATCTGGTGAGCACGGGCGCCGCGGGGTTCGATCTGGTGAGCACGGGCGCCGCGGGGTTCGGTCTGGCGAGCACGTGCACCACGGGGTTCAATCTGGCGAGCACGAGGGCCGCGGGGTTCGGTCTGGCGAGCACGAGCGCCGCGGGGTTCGGTCTGGCGAGCACGAGGACTGCGGGGTTCGGTCTGGCGAGCACGAGCGCCGCGGGGTTCGGTCTGGCGAACACGAGCGCTGCGGGGAACACGTGCACCACGGGGTTCGGTCTGGCGAGCACGAGTGCCGCGGGGAGCGCGTGCACCACGGGGTTCGGTCTGGCGAGCACGTGCACCACGGGGTTCGGCCTGGCGACCATGAGCACCGTGCGGTTTGGTCTGGCGAGCACGAGCGTCGCGGGGTCCGGTCTGGCGAGCACGAGCGCCGCGATCGCCTGTGGTCCCGGCCTCGAATAGATCTGATGATCAAAGCCGCAGGAAAAAAGGGCGAAGGGATAGCAAAATGGGACCGAAAAGCGAACAGACGACTTTAACGCTGTCGTGGCTTTCACTGAATATGAACGCATGGAGATGACCCAGTGGACTAAAGCCCAAGACAAATAGTATTCGAACGTGAGGAAGGGTCGGCAAACTCCTTACTCTGCTGCGAGCGACCACGTGGGGATCAGACCGCGCTGATATCACTGCTCGTAGCCACAGCCATAGCTACCAGCGCTCGCAGCGTTCCATGATGGTCGGCCAACTCCGTTGTACGCTGGCTATGTCTTCTTCCGCGGGCGGCAGGCAGGCCTCTGGCGCGTAGGTTGTATTAAACGTCAACACAGACCTTTCGACCAGGCCGTCCACAGTGCATCAGTTAGTACCAAAAGGCACAAACCCCTTCCGCAGCATTGCACGTATTGAGAACGTTTCGAACCATTCGAACTAGAGAGCGTTCAGGGTATCACAAGGAGTATCCAGCGTTCCGTGTCGCCGAGCATCCACTACGGCACGAACATCGGCCCCGTCCGAGTAGCGGTACGAAGCCGGCCGCGCTTGATCGAAATGACCTGAGCTTCCGAATCCCAGCACGCCTAAACTGCAATCACGGCACCGTACGCTGCATACGGTCTAATCGGCTGGCGAGCCCATCACCGGAGGAACGAAGGCCGTCATGCACGGTTTTCCCAGAGGGGAGGAGGGGGCGCCTCGGTCATCGACAGGCGTCCCCACCGGTCGCGACAGTGGCGCCCGTGGTGCCAGCATTGCAGCCGCCCCAGCCGTCAGACCGCGTCACTCCTCAGAAAGCGTATCGGCGGTCGCGGGCGCGACTCCGCTACAGCGCGCGAGCTACAGCGACCTGGCTACAGGCGGCGCCGAGAGCGAGCAGCCGCCCCAACCGTCAGTCTCATCAGTCCCACACAGCGAAACACCGCCCGTTCGCCGCTGTCTGTCCTGAGACATTGGGAGCGCGCTTGGCTGCAGGACGAGCGCCCGTCTGATGCTGCTGCGGCGGTCTCACCCGCCACGGGCTGCTGGTCACCGATCGTCACACGACCGCGCGAAGAGTGCGTCAGTTATGTCTTAAGTCTACTGAGTTACTTTGCCGCCCTGCGCGCAATACTGGTCATCAGATAGTACTCGCCAAGCCAACAACGCGTTGACTGAATCGTCTCGCGAAGGGAGTAGCTAGACGCACTGTCAACAAAACACCGTGTGCTATCAAGAAATACGAGCAGGATCTCGACTGGAAGCATGCGCGACAAACTACAGCGACAATCCGCACAACTAACGTCGCAGAGTTCACCAGCGCGCTCCAGTCGCGAGCTGTTGTGAAAGACACCGGTCGCCGCCCGGCGACCAGGCGGTCCATACGGCACGAGTCACCGCCCGGCGGACCCACCCCCACCAATCGGCGGCGAGTCACGAGTCACCGCCCGGCGGACCCACCCCCACCAATCGGCAGCGAGTCACCAGTCACCGCCCGGCGGACCCACCCCCACCAATCGGCAGCGAGTCACGAGTCACCGCCCGGCGGACCCACCCCCACCAATCGGCAGCGAGTCACGAGTCACTGCCTGGCGGACCCAGCCCAACCGATCGGCAGCGAGTCACGAGTCACTGCCCGGCGGACCCAGCCCAACCGATCGGCAGCGAGTCACGAGTCACCACTCGGCGGGCCCACCCCCACCAATCGGCAGCGAGTCACGAGTCACCGCCCGGCGGACCCACCCCCACCAATCGGCAACGAGTCACGAGTCACCGCCCGGCGGACCCATCCCCAACAATTGGCAGCGAGTCACGAGTCACCGCCCGGCGGACCCACCCCCACCAATCGGCAGAGAGTCACGAGTCACCGCCCGGCGGACCCACCCCCACCAATCGGCAACGAGTCACGAGTCACTGCCCGGCGGAGCCACCCCCACCAATCGGCAGCGAGTCACGAGTCACCGCCCGGCGGACCCAGCCCAACCGATCGGCAGCGAGTCACGAGTCACCGCCCGGCGGACCCATCCCCACCGATCGGCAGCGAGTCACGAGTCACCGTCCGGCGGACCCACCCACGGCCCCCCTCCTAACTGGCAGCGAGTCACGAGTCACCACCCGGCGGACCCACCCCCACCAATCGGCAGCGAGTCACGAGTCACCGCCCGGCGGACCCATCCCCAACAATTGGCAGCGAGTCACGAGTCACCGCCCGGCGGACCCAACCCCACTAATCGGCAGCGAGTCACGAGTCACCGCTCGGCGGACCCACCCCCACCAATCGGCAGCGAGTCACCAGTCACCGCCCGGCGGACCCACCCCCACTAATCGGCAGCGAGTCACGAGTCACCGCCCGGCGGACCCACCCCCACTAATCGGCAGCGAGTCACCAGTCACCACCCGGCGGACCCACCCGCACTAATCGGCAGCGAGTCACGAGTCACCGCCCGGCGGACCCACCGCCACTAATCGGCGGCGAGTCACCAGTCACCGCCCGGCGGATCCACCCCACCAATCAGCAGCGAGTCACCAGTCACCGCCCGGCAGGCCCACCCCCACTAATCGGCAGCGAGTCACGAGTCACCGCCCGGCAGATCCAGCCTCACCGCACCACTTGGCAGCGAGCGGCCTCACTTGAGTTTGATCTTGTACAGTTTCAGCTTGAAGCCGAGCATGTCTGAGAGGACGCCGCTGCAGGCGGACAGCACGATCACCTTGGTGGCGTTGTACAGGAACGGGTTGGCCGAGAAGCCCAGCACGGTGAACGGACTCTCCAGCTCCTGCGGGCGAGCGCCAACTGGGCGGTCATCCGACGGGAAGGAGTGGCGGCGACACCGAACAGCTCGGCCGACGGGATGGACGGGGTCCGGCGCAGCCGCCGCGCCGACTGATGTCGACAAGCACAGACAGGCCCGCGCCAACGACAGGACAGAGACCCGTAGGCGTTTTAGCAAGGACATGAGTTTTCCTGAACCGCACCACACCGGCTGGTGTCTACTTGACAGAGTGGCAAGGTACGCCGTAGAAGACATTCTCATAAGCGCCGGCAGAGCCCGTCCCGCCTGGTCTAGCGGACCACACGGAACAACGGCGGGCCAAAGGAAGCTGCAGCAAACAGCAACAAGAAGTAAGCCAGCGGCATGATAACAGACGTCAAAACGCAACGTCTAAAACGCAGCAAGTGAACGTGAAAGACGGCGGCCGCGCCTAACTCGCGCCTTCACCGACGTCTGCCACCGTGAGGCCGGCGGGACGGCGCCGCACCTTCAGCAAATCGCAGGCCAGCTTGAGCACGTTGTTGGCCAGCACGAGGCGCTCCTTCTTGTGCGGCTTCTGCTCGATCTGCAGGTAGAGGTTGATCTGCTCCGTCAGCACCACCGACAGGTTGCGGTACTTGCGGTTGATGTACGAGCCCAGCGACATCACCCGCACCAGGTACACCCCGAGCGAGAAGCACCTGCAGCGCCAGGTGCGGACGACGGTTACGGCCCCGGCACGGCTGGTCCGCACGCCGGCGCCATGGAAGTCGGGACCGTCGATTCCTCGTGGCGCCCAGTGCTGCTGACAGTTGAATGCTGATGCTCATGTCCGCAGCAGGGCACGCACGCACGCACGCACGCACGCACGCACGCACGCACGCACGCACGCACGCACGCACGCACGCACGCACGCACGCACGCACGCACGCACACACACACACACACACACACACACACACACACACACACACACACACACACACACACACACACACACACACACACACACACACACACATTCAACAGCACGTACAGCTGGCAGCCGTCCGCAGCAGGGCACCACGCCACAGGTGAGCGGCCAGAGGCCGGACATCGGTCCGCAGTCGACGCGCCATCGGAATGACCTGGCCCCGCTCGAGGTACGCACAACCCGCCATCATGTCACCAGGCCCGACCGAAGACGACCGGCCACGAACGCCGCGACCCTGGCGGCCATCGCGGGGTAGTGACAGCCAACCACGTCTAGCAACTGTTAATCTACAGACCACGGCGGCGCGCCGAGCCGGCGGACTGACCAGACCACCAGCTGGGTGCGGTAGTAGTCGATGCGCGGGCTGTCGGTGTTCTCCAGCAGTTCGACGCAGAGGCAGGTGACCAGCACGACCGTGGTCAGGCAGGCGGACGAGACGATCGTGTCGATCGACCGCTGGGGGCCGCGCTTCTGCGCCGCACAGGGGACACCTGGCGTCAGGTCACAGGGGGCCGCACAGGGGACAGACTAGTCAGATCACAGGGGCGCCGCACAGGGGACAGACTAGTCAGGTCACGGGGGTGCCGCACAGGGGACAGACTAGTCAGGTCACAGGGGTGCCGCGCAGGGGACAGACTCGTCAGGTCACAGGGGCGCCGCACAGGGAACGCCTGGCGTCAGGTCACAGAGGCCCCGCACAGGGGACAGACTAGTCAGGTCACAGGGGTGCCACACAGGGGACAGACTAGTCCGGTCACAGGGGTGCCGCACAGGGGACAGACTAGTCAGGTCACAGGGGTGCCGCACAGGGGACAGACTAGTCAGGTCACAGGGGTGCCGCGCAGGGGACAGACTCGTCAGGTCACAGGGGCGCCGCACAGGGAACGCCTGGCGTCAGGTCACAGAGGCCCCGCACAGGGGACAGACTAGTCAGGTCACAGGGGTGCCGCACAGGGGACAGACTAGTCAGGTCACAGGGGTGCCGCACAGGGGACAGACTAGTCAGGTCACAGGGGTGCCGCACAGGTGACAGACTAGTCAGGTCACAGGGGTGCCGCACAGGGGACAGACTAGTCAGGTCACAGGGGTGCCGCACAGGGGACAGACTAGTCAGGTCACAGGGGCGCCGCACAGGGGAAACCTGGCGTCAGGTCACGGAGGCGCCGCACAGGGGACAGACTAGTCAGGTCACAGGAGCGCCGCACAGGAGACAGACTAGTCAGGCCACAAAGGCGCCTATCGCGGCAAACTAGACAGGTTGTAGGGGCGCCGCCGATTGTGGTGGCGTGCCACCGGCGACAACCTAGTCACCGCGTCACAGCCAGCAAATGGCGCCAGACCACCAGAACACAGTCACCAGACGGTACCGGGTCAGCGGGAGGCAGTCAGCGGTACCGCCGCTGGCGCTCATCGCCGAGCTGCACACCCGTGCCCGGCGCTGACCTTCAGGCAGGAGCGCACTGACAGCCAAGTCTTGATGTTGCGCACCTTCTTCAGGCGGAAGTGCGGCAGCTCGAACTTCCTGCCGCAAGCAACCGTCGACATCACGCCAGCCCGCCGGCACCGCACAGCTACGGCCGACAGCCGGCCCGAGCACGCAAGGCAAGAGCTACGGGCCGCAGGCAAGAGACGGCGGGTCTCGACAGCCCCTAACGCGTCAGCCCTCTTTGTAACGCTATCTCGCACAGAGTAACCAAATATTAACACTTCAGGTGTGCCACAACACAAAGAAGTCAAACATCTGCAATATAAGCTGAGATTTGGTACGCCAGTAGAGCCCATGCGTCCTTCATTTGGACGTTCGGTCACCCCTTTCCAACACCCGCTACACCGGCCAGCAATACATTTCGAAACTCTGGTGAACCCTCAGCCCGTCCATTCGCATCGCCTGCCATACGCGCCGCCGCGCCTCGCCGGCTTCCCGTCCCCTCTGACCTGGCTCTGCGGGCGGACGTCAGGTAGCAGAAGTACTTGGCGTAGAGCAGGCGCTGCTTGAAGGAGCGCTCCACCACGCTCAGCAGGAAGAAGAGCAGGCCAGTGACGAGCAGCGTGACCAGCAGGCAGCCGACGGTCACCATCCGCTCCCTGCCAGCGGCCGCGCCGACTCAGAGCGGTCCGCCCCCCCCCCCCCCCCCCCCCCCCCCCCCCTGCGGTCTGATGGAGGCAGTGCTCCGCTGGCACCGTTAAGCAGCCTTATCAAAAGTGTGGCAACTGTTGTAGGTAACATGTGGCACCGCATGTTGCCACATGTCCAGGTCCCCCGTGGTGCGATAGCATATCCCGCTGCTAGGGAGTGCCAGCACAATGTCCAGATAATGCTTAAATAACGTATGATAGTAAAAGTAGGAGCGAGTTTTATACTCTTTCGCATCCGGGACTTTCCAGCCTGACTTATGCCTGAGGATTATCATTGCAACAGCGACGGGCTGGTAGCAGCCCGTCTGGGTGAGTTGGCTAGTCTTGCAGTCCGGCTACTCACTGGCCGGTGACTCCGAAGGCGGCGTCGGACAGCGTGGCCAGGTGGTGGGACACCTCCAGAGAGACGTTCAGCACGGCGGCCGGGCAGAGTGAGGCCCGCCAGCCGGGGACCACCAGCGGCGCGCTGGCGCCGCCCAGCCGGCACAGCGTGGGCAGCAGGGAGATCAGGGCCGCCATCGCCAGACCTGCCGTCAAAAGACAAGGCCGTCAGCAGACCTGCCGTCACGAGACAAGGCTGTCAGCAGACCTGCCGTCAAAAGACAAGGCTGTCAGCGGACCTGCCGTCAGGAGACCAGGCTGTCGGCGGACCTGCCGTCAGGAGATAGGTTGTCAGCGGACCTGCCGTCAGGAGACGAAGCTGTCAGCGGACCTGCCGTCAGGAGACCAGGCTGTCAGCGGACCTGCCGTCAGGAGACAAGGCTGTCAGCGGACCTGCCGTCAGGAGACCAGGCTGTCAGCGGACCCGCCGTCAGGAGATAAGGCTGTTAGCGGACCTGCCGTCAACACCGGCGGCTCGGCGAGCCGGCCGGCAGGGCACGGTTAGCATGACGCCTGTTCGATCAAGCAGGACAAGGTCGACACTAGCGCCCCCGGCGGCATGCGCTGCAGGCCGCCGGACTGAGACACCAAACGAGCATATTATTTTTTTTTTTAAGTTTCGCCCGATCCTTTTGGCTGGATGGATTTCTGGCATCAGAGCTCATGCCAAGCAGTGCTTGTGCGAGTTCTCCCCCCCCCCACCCGATCGTGCAGTCCCTAAGGAATGCCTATGGTCTAATGCCTATGCCTAAGCCTAAGACAGGCATGGCCTAAGGCCATACCTGTCAAAGCCAAATAGCGAGCGTCTAAAGCGACTAGAAACCACCACGCCATGGGTGGGTGGATCGGAAGGCAGGCGCTCTGACCTAACGGAGCGCAGACCCTCTAAACTAAGTCATCGGGATGGTCCACCAACTGGACCGTCATTCAACCAACGGTCAGCCACCCAGACCATCACCCAACCCACAGGAGCACTTGGACCATCCTGTACATTGTGGCGCCGCGACTTCAACATGGCGCTGCTCTAGACGTTTACCGTTTTCCCATCCGGTACTAGAGACCACGCGGAGGGCAGCGCCAGGCCGCACGTCGCCAGCGCACAGCCGCGCGCAAGAACCCCCACCGTGAAGGCGCAAGACGGCAGGCTGGCAGCACATCACAGCACGAGGCTGCATCCGGCGTCGCCAGCGGCTCTGCTCCGGCCGAGGCGCGCCCGGCGGCACCCACCGAACACGAGGTAGTCGGTGGACTGCGGCATGGACTCGACCCGGTTGACGACGACGGAGCAGATGTCGAGCGTGGTCAGGTCCACCTTCTTCACGTCGACGCCCTCCCAGATGGTGCAGCCCGCTGGCGGCACACGGCGCCACGCGATGTCACGCGCTGAGCTGCGCACGCCCGGCGGGCCCAGCACGGACAGTTGAGCTGCGCACGCCCGGCGGGCCCGGCACGGACAGTTGAGCTGCGCACGCCCGGCGGGCCCGGCACTGACAGTCGAGCTGCGCACGCCCGGCGGGCTCGGCACGGACAGTTGAGCTGCGCACGCCCGGCGAGCCCGGCACGGACAGTCTGGTAAGACGGGGGCGAAGAGCGGAGAAAGCTACTTCGTTTTTTAGACAAAGCCGCAACAGTACAATCTCGATAAAGTAGATTGGGCCTCACCACGTAAAAATCTGTATTACGACACTTGTTGAATAAAGCGGTATCGTACTTACAAAAAAGGAGTCATCTTTGTGAGTAAAGCATGTTGTCCCCGCGCATGTTATCATTTCATTGTTTTAATTGCTTCCCGCATGCCATTTTGATAAAAGTATCGTTTTCATCAAGTTTTCATCATCACTGTCACATTCGAAACAAGCGCCGGACTTGCTATTCTAACCAAGGCCAAAATACTTGTTCGGTAAAATAAATACATTAGTGGTCTTCCAACCACGTACTCCATCTGGCTACCGCATTCCTTGACCAGCTACACAAAACACCAGGACTGGCTATACCCCAGGGGTAAAGAGTGCCGCGCCTCTAGCCCGTGCGGCCGAGCGGCCGGCCGCCGACGGGGCCGGCGCTGGCCGGTGCCGCCGCCGCCGCCGCCGCCGGAGCGCCCCACTGACTGCGGTCGGACGAGGCGCTCGGCGTTAGCAGCGGGTTGTCGAAGGAGCCGGTGGCCGCGGCCGAGCGCTGGCCGGACGTGGCCGAGCCGCCGGAGCTGTAGCTGGCCTCTGAGTCCGAGCCGGACGTCTGCGGCGCGCGCGCACACGCTCAGGCTCGGCACTGGACGGGACGGGACACCGGTGGCCGCCACTCGGGACGTAGGGACACACGGCGAAGGCAGCGACCAGGAGCGGACGGCGACGCCCACGGAATACAGCGACACTCAGGGAACAGGAACAGTGGCACTCGGAGAGTTAGTGGCACCCAGGGCAGACAGCGACACTCGGATAGACGGAGACACCAAGAGAACACAATGACACTCGCAGAGACGGCGGCACCCAGGGGAGACAGTAACTGTCACGGAAAACGTTGGCATTCTGGAAAGACTGCAAGACTTCGGGAAAGACGATGACACTCAAGTACACGAATACTCATGGCGTACATCAACACCTGGAGCAGACGAAAGGGCTTACGATGGACGGCAACACCGCAGCTACCCGAAGATGTTCAGGACGCCGTCACGCTCGAGGTAAAAAGCGACAATACCAATCAATTAACTTCCCAAATAAAAGCACATCCCCTTTGAAAGGCAACACCGGGTTGGGCTAAAAGCAGCAGCAGCTGCTGATCGCTTCGCTCCTAACAAAGGAAAACATCCGATAACAAGACGACATTCAGATATTCAGAGCAGACGGCGACATCCAACAAACGCAGACGCCCGGGGCACAGTGGCGAGCGCGTGACGGCGCTACGGGAGCGAGGGGCGAAGCCGTGCCTCGGCAGACGGGTCGCCAGCCGCGACCGTCAGCTCTACCACCCACCTACGTGCCGCCGCAGTGTTGTGGTCCTCCACCGGGAGGACAACCGAAGCGAAGCGCAGCCCCAGTGCTGGCGAGCGACGAGAGCATGCAGAAGCGTCGGCCGGCAGCCACCCACGGGCAGTGCAACAGAGGGAGACAGCGAAGTCGCGGAGAGCGATGGACCCAAGAGAAAGACCTGTCCAGGAGAAGGCAAGAGGAGAGACAGAGATATACCCAGCACTGAGAGCGAACGACTCGCCAGCGGGTGGCGGGCGGGCGGCGAGCCCTGATACCTGCTGGTCGGGTGCGGCCGCGTTGGCGCCACTTTCGGCCGACGAGATCGGCCGCGGCGGCCGGGCGCGCGCCGCCGTCCACTGCCGGCAGCGCCGCCGGCCGACGGCCAGACGGCGCAGCGCCGCCTGTCAACCGGCGGCACAGGTTCAGGCGCGCCGGTGCTCGGCCCCAGCCCGCAGGCGGTTAGCCCACAGCAAGCGTGCGCCGGCGGCCGCGGGCGGCGCGGGTTGGAGCGGCCGCTGGCGACGCGGGGTCGACCGGCCGGCGGCGCGCGGCGGCCTGTGGCTGGGTAGGTGTGTGTGTTGTGCATGTGAGCGCGCGACTACAGCGGTTGTCATAAAGCCGCGCTAGCCAACCGGGTGCCGGCGGCGATGACGGCCCAGGCGGCGGTGGCGGCCCCGGCGGATGGGTGCACGGCACGCGGGGTGGGTCACACAGGGGGCGGCGGCGGTCGACACCAGCTGACCTTGACATAGGAGCGGTGTGGCTGGCTGTCGGCGTCCGACTGGTGGCGCTCCGAGCAGCTGGCGTCGGCCACCGAGCTGTCCGTGCCCGGCCGGCAGCTGGCGGCGGGACCGGGCGTCAGGCGCCAGGGCAGGCCGCGGCGGCCCCGCCGGCCACACGGACAGGCACCGAACACGGTCACACCACCGGCACACGTCCGCAATCGCCGTGAGCACCTGCACTCACGTACCTTTCGCAAGTAGCACTGACAATACCAGACCATGGATGCAATTACATCATGGAGCCGGTGCTCTGCAAACGCACCACAGCAGGCCACACAAACGACCTGTCAGTGCCCGTCACACGCCGCGGTCAGCACACGCGGTCACCTGTCCGCCTGCACCGCCACTTCGAACGGCCCCAGCTGCACCGGCGCCGGCCGGACACCAGCCCACCTCTACGCCAGAGCCAGAGGCGCCCGCCTCGCGCCCCCACCTGAACGGGTCCGGGTCGAGCAGCGGGCCACCAGCGGCCGACGGCGCCGCCTTCGAGAGCGCCGACGTCGACGAGCTGGGACTGAGCTCGGCGAACTCATCACCCGACTTGGAGTCGGTCGAGTCGGTGTGGTAGCAACGCACCGTCTCGGGCAGCGCGGCGATGCGCACCAGTTTGGCGCGCGAGGCGCGACGGTCGGCGGCGCGCCGCTCGCGGCTGCTGCGGCGGCGCGCGGAGGCCGACGGCGGCGCGGACGGCGGCGCGGCCGGCTGCGCGGCCGGCGGCGTGGCCGGCGGCGTGGCCGGCGGCGCCGCGCTGTCCGCCGACAGAGAGCGCGCCGGCAGGCCCCGCCGCTGACCGGTCTTCGGCTCCTGCGAGGCGGAGCGGGCCGGCGACGGCGGCGGCGGTGACCGCTGCCGACCGTCGGCGGGCGCCACCGGCGGCGCGAGCGGGTCATCTCCGGCGGACAACAGGCCGTCCTCGGCCGCGGCGGCGGCCGCCGCCGCCACCAGCGTCGGGCTGCTGGGCGGCGGCCCCGTCGGCGGCGCGACGAAAGGCGTCGGAGTGGGCTCCGAGGATGCGCGCCGCATCGGGGCGGCATTGTAGGCGCTCCTACCATCCCTGGAGGGCGAACTGGAGACGACCGAGAAAATGCCGCTCATGCTCGAGTTGCCACCTGGCAGAGGAAATCGTATTCAGTACGTGACGGTACATTGGTGATATTGTCCACTCCCAGCAATTCTAAAGCCGACCAATACTAATGCATTCCACCTTAAGTGAAGCAGTTCGGTAATGCACGAGCCGACAAGTGGGGGACTATTGGTTGGTTCAAGCCTGACTTCAGCTGACCTTTCCTCGAACGAAGTTACGGCCCACAAACTGGCACGAACTGCAAAGTGGCCTCCTCATCGCAGGGGTTAGTGGGACAGAGCAATAGGGGGCGGAACACGACAGAACAGGCTGACTGTCGCCACGTACCAGAGGAGGCGCGGGAGCGACGGCGCCTCTTGAGCCGGCCGGCAGGAGCCGCGCCGCCGGAGCCGGACAGGTGCGTCTCGTTATAGGCCACGATCTGCGACTTGAGGATGCTCAGTGCGCAGGCCACCAGCAGCGGCGTCAGCAGCTCGGCCGGCGACACCTTCTGCGGTGGTGGCGGAGGGTCGGGGGCGAAGGTCGCGAGGTAGGAGGTATCATTCCGCAACACGGCACCACAACCGTCACCGGCAATGGACAGTCAAACAGCTCACCACGACCGTGGTTGAACAGCTCACTGAGACCGTGGCTGAACAGCTCACTGAGACCCTGGCCGACCATTTCACTACGACCGTGCCTGAACAGCTCACTGAGACCGTGGCTGAACAGCTCACTAAGACCGTGGCTGAATAGCTGACTGAGACCGTGCCTGAATAGCTGAGACCGTGGCTGAATAGCTCGCTGAGACCTTGGCTGAGTAGCTGAATGAGGTCGTGGCCCAATAGCTGACTGAAACCGTGGCTGAATAGCTGACTGAGGCCGTGGCTGAATAGCTCACTGAGACCGTGGCTGAGAAGCTGAATGATGTCGTGGCTCAATAGCTGACTGAAACCGTAGCTGAACAGCTCACTGAGACCGTGGCTGAGTAGCTGAATGAGGTCGTGGCTCAATAGCTGATTGAAACCGTGGCTGAATGGCTCACTGAGACCGTGGCTAAACAGCTCACTGAGACCAGGAATAAACCAACGGACTGCCGGCCGGCTGACATCAATAAGACAACGGCCGTGATCAGCACACAGGCATGAAACACCTCTAGCCTTCATTCAGGCAGCCCTTTTCACCGCCACCTCCAACACACGGCGAACGAACTGTGTGCACAGCGAGAGGCGCCGTGGCAGCCGGCGTGCGGCGTCGCCTCACTCACCGGCGCGGAGGCCGGGTCGCCGACCCAGAGCACCACCAGCAGGGCGGCGTACAGCAGGTAGGCGGCCAGCAGCGCCAGGAAGAGACGCGGCCCGACGTGGCGGCGCCACCAGCGTCGATAGATCGGCAGCAGCGCGGCCCGCAGCAGACCGTGGCGCACCGCGTACCACATGCCCAGGTGCGGCTTGGCCTTCGGGAAGGTGGAACCTGCGGCGGCGCGCGGCGCGCGGGCTCAGTCCCCCGCGGACACGGCAGGCGGCATCGTTGACTGTGCCCCGGCCCACGGCGGCGGAGCGCTGGCGCCGCGCGATCGCCACACCGCACAGGCGGCCATACTGCAGAGACGGCGTAAAGCACACAAGCACGCGAGAGCCTGGCTCACTCAGCGGGCCCTCACGAAGTCTGAGGCTGTACGGCGTGTGGCGAGGGTCCGATCTTCGGGACTTGGCACAAACATGAGGATCCAACTAGAGGACCCAACCTTAGGACCAGCTTGAGGACCCAACGTGAGGACCCGACATGAGGACCTGACATTCAGAACCCGACATCTAGGGTCCGAAACAGACCGACGGCGGCCAGCGTCCCAGGCCGCCCCATTCAGTTAACCTGCAAGGGCTGGCCCCGGCCCCGGCCCGCAGCGCGCCTCACCTCTGACCAGGTCAAGGTCGATGAGGCCGATGGCCGGCTTGGTGGACTTGCGCGGCACGCCGCCGTAGCTGCGCGCGCTGCGCCGCTCCACCGTCTGCTCCCACTCGGGCATCTCGAGCGCGCCCATCTGGCGCTGGTAGCGCTGCAGCGCCGCCTCGGCCCAGCTCATCGTGTCCGGGTAGGAGGCCGCCAGCCGGACGGACGTCATGGGTGGCGGGCCGCCTCGTCAGCCGAGCGGCGCTCCGCTCCCATCTGAGAACAGGGGCTCACTTGTGGGAACCGCCGGCGTCAACCGTCGAAAACGCTCACGTGGCGCGACTTCCAGTCGTAAATACCTATTTGTGTTTTGTTTGAAGAGTTGACCCGAACCTTCTGAATGGATGAATCCCAGGAATCAGAGCTCACGGTAAGCGGTGCTTGTTGTGTTAGCCCTGACCTCCTACTATCCGATCGCGCAATCCTAGGCAACAGCAGAATTATGTGGCAAAAGTTTAATGTGCCCCACTGATCGGCACGGTTCGTCCTACCCTCTGACGTCAACTGACCTTCAGCACGGCCTCTGCCACCGGCCGCAGGTTTTACCTGTCAATGACAAATAGCGAGCGCCTGAAGCGATTCGAACCCACCTGCCACGGGTGGGTGGACCAGAAGGCAGGCGCTCTAACCAGCTGATGCACCGAACTTAGCGTCTGGGCACACGTCACGTCAGACACACACCACGGGGCGACGACGAAGGGACGCCGTGTCCGCCTGACCCGAGTGTGGCCGCCGCCTACCGACCGGCACCGCTCTCGCGCCTGTGCGCAAGCGAGGGCGTGCAGAGGGACACGGCCGGGTGTGGCCGCCGCCTACCGACCGGCACCGCTCTCGCGCCTGTGCGTGCGCGAAGGCGTGTAGAGGGACACGGCCGCGTGTAGCCGCCGCCTACCGACCGGTACCGCTCTCGCGTCTGTGCGCGAGAGAAGGCGTGTAGAGGGACACGGCCGGGTGTGGCCGCCGCCCACCGGCCGGTACCGCTCTCGCGCCTGTGCGCGAGCGAAGGCGTGTAGAGGGACACGGCCGAGTGTAGCCGCCGCCTACCGACCGGTACCGCTCTCGCGCCTGTGCGCGAGCGAAGGCGTGTAGAGGGACACGGCCGGGTGTGGCCGCCGCCTACCGACCGGCACCGCTCTCGCGCCTGTGAGTGAGCGAAGGCGTGCAGAGACACGGCCGGGTATGGCCGCTCACGGGACGGGCCGAGACCAGAACGGGAGGTCACTCGGACAGAGGACGGTAAACATCGCGCTCGATCCAAGGCACAATCCCGGCTCCTGTGGGCAGAGCTTTGAAAAGTGCCAAACCAGTTGGATCATGTCATAAGCTGAAACGGTATGAGAGGTTTGCATGAGCCCTGTAGTTTACTAGTAATGTGAGAATATACAATACCCTGTTTTCAAAAATTTCCATAATTTGGATAAGATACCCACATGGTAGTTGGGACTGCTGCCCAAGCAACATTGGTTCATCATCCTCCAGTCACAATGAGTGCCTATATTTGGTGGGCAGGCAGTTCCTGATGGTGTTTTACTCAGGGAGCCAAGTTCTCTGCTGTGTTAAAGCTAATTTAGCCCCACAGCAGGCTCTGTGTCCTTCTAGCCATTCCCAGTCAATGTTTTCTTGATGCTTATGGGCTGTTGTGGAATGTGACTACCACTTTATCAACAGCAGCTGATCACTTGTGGGGACCCTAGTTTTGCTCTACAGCTTCTGTCATTTGGATGCACTTGCGAGCTGTTAAGAGTCCTATGGAGCACGTCACGAATTATGCTGTGCTTAGTGGAAGTTAGATGCGCAGATTCGCAGTGTAGAATGATACCAGATTGGTGGCCTTGATAAAGAGCTCCGTTTCTAACGTCGTGCGGTTGTTCCTCCTCTCCATCCCCACTAGCGTATCCAAAGATGGGACCTCCTTTCTGCCCCCTGTATGCTCCACCGCAAAAACTAGATTTGAATGCTGGTTGTTCATGAACTCCAAAACCTCGTTAAGGGCACGCTGTCCGTGCGTCCATACCCCAGCATAATTGGCGATGCATCTAGCTAGAAAGCTGGTTTTAATGGGCTGGCAGCCAGGGCCTTCGCTTCAAATTGGTCTAAAATATGATCGGCGTAGGAGCGCATGGGTTCCCCATTGCTGTTCAAGCTTTTTGTCGATAGAAGTCACCTCCGAACGAGAACCATTATCTTGGAGACACTGTTCCAAAAGACCGCAGGTATCCTCTTTTGATAGACCGAAAGCATCAACTTCATGAAAATGTTTGTCTACGCTAGTTTTCACGGCAGCGATAGCCCCATTCACTGGTATATTGTTATATAAATTGACAACATCTACACTGAAGAAAATGCTTCCTTCTGGTAGGGCTCCTGCCTGTGATTGATTAGAAGCCCTTTTTAAAAAGTCTTTGGTGTCCCAAAGATGAGTGGGAACAAACCTCAAGAATTGGTTGAGTACTTTCTCAAAAAATGAAGTTTTTTCCGTACGACCACCGCACGCAGATATGACAGGCCTAAGGGGCACTGTTATCACTCTGTGTAATTATGATATCATCATTTCTGCTGAGGTCCTGATAAAGCTCCGCTCATCTGCAGTGACATTAAGCTTGCCTCCTGCATGGTTTTTGAACGCGCGCGGTACGTCATCCTTCAATTTCTGTAGCTGACTTCTACTTCATTACTGGAAGGTTCCGGAAAGTTCTTAACGAAATTTCCGTAATAACTTACCAAACGGCAATGAACATATCTTTTATATCTTAGGATATCTGCGATCTTTTCGAACACTGACTCCGGGATAATGTTCCTCGTTCGGAGATGACTTCTACCAACAAAAATTGAAAATAGCAATGGGCAACCCATGCGCGCCTCCTCTGACGATAATATTTTTAGGCCGATTTGAAACGAAGACCTGGACCGCCAGCCCATTAAAACTAACTTTCTAACTAGATACATCGACGATCATGCTGGGGTATGGACGCACGGACAGTGCGCCCTTAGAGTTTTTAGAGTTCATGAACAACCTGCATCCAAATCTAGCTTTTATGAAGGAGCATACAGGGGGTGGAAAGTCAAATCAAAACTGAAAAATCAAAACTGAGCATACACATAGCTGGAAAAACGACAATAAGCTTAAAAAGTCTCTGGTGAAATCTTCCATCTAGAAGCCTAAGTGTGCGGGTGGCGACAGATGTCATTAATGCAGTTCTGGGTTCGTCGTTTGTACGCAAAAAACATGGTTTATGAAATCAAGTGTAAACTGTGTGAAAAACAGGGGAGAACATAGTCTATATTGGGGAGTCCATGCACCCTATTCGTTCAAGATATAATTAAATTATAAATTAATTAAATAAGATATATTAAAAACCTGTGAGATGCTAAAAACAAAACAGGGAAAATCTTTTCAGTGACCATTTTTTGGACAAAACATGCCCAGGCTGAAATTGAGGGAAGTATGGACCCTATGCCCCCCTTACCACTCAAAATCATCTACAGGGCACAGGACCATCCAGACAGGAAAACAAGTTAATATATTATCATAAAACATTTGCAACCAAGTTTTAACATACAGGGCTTGTCATCGCCAATTATGCAAATGTGATATGCACCTGTATGTGTGATGTGTGCCAGCTTAGAATCATTTATATGTGTAAGTGATGCCTGATGCCTGATGTGTGATGCCTGTTCAATTGAAATCATTTGCATGCATGTTTGATGGGTGATGCATGATGCCTGTTTAGTGTTAAGTTCAACTCACTTGCATGTTTGGATGAAGCGTGATGTGTGATGCCTAGTTGCTTGAATTTGTGTGCATGTACACATATGTTTGCACATTCTAACTATTAGATACACACTGCATTGTGGTAATGACTAGCAATCATTCTTTGTTAAATCTAATGAGTGCTACTGTCCTGTAAAGCTGTGGTTTGCTGCTAAAAAAAACTGAGAAATCAAGTAGGACCATCTGCAGGCAACTTGGCACTCACTTCTGCTATTGTTTTTATAAAAGGCATGCAGCTAAAATAGCAACCTAACCACATCTCTATTCTTTTGGTTTTTTCCATGAAAAAGGCTAATAACACTGCCTTATCATGTGAATAATGTTCCTCCCTAATGCACCAAGCAACTTATGTAAAAAGTACCTAAATAAATGCAAAAAATACTACACATGCCAGCAAATATCAGGATACCTTGGAAACCATCACTCATGGCAAGACTGGTGAACAGTTAGATGTCAAATTTTTGAACCAATACAATAATTCAGGAGCCATTTATCCATCAATCACTCAATGAGAGATATATTTCTAAAGCATAGTTATATTTGCTTAACATGCATTGGATCAATTGTTTAGTGCATTTGCAAAAAACATTCAGATACATAAGACCATAATAATAGCTTTATTCTTTGAAAACACTAGGAGAATGAAGATATACATGTGTTGATATTTCAGCAACATGCTTTTATTAAAATGAAGAGCATAACACAATTCACTACTGCCAAAATAGCCAAGCATCTGCATGTTCATTCTCCTGGTTTTTCTCTGAGGAATAAGGCTTTAAGGAATAAGCTGCTTGTGTCTTAACATGCATTGCATTCAAACCAAATTTCAGATGCTATTTGAAATGCATTATTTATAGGTGCAGCTAGCCATGCACCTGAGTGCATGTATAGACCTGATATTCATAAGTATTTAACAGCAAAAATAATTAGAGAGCAATTAAGTTGTGGCATGCTGTACCCAATATACAGTAATTGCAATCTCACACCACCAAATCTAATCTAATGTATCAAGATCATAGAGGGGTAAAAGATGGATTTGATACAAAAGAAGATGGAAAGATCAGAGATGGGCCAAAAACTGATTGCTTGCCAATGCAGCTAAATGTAGGGCACATGATGCATACAAAAGTGTGACCATGTCAGGCCTTTGGGCTATAGAAGCAGGCAGACATAATTTGTATCTTAATTTCTACTGAGTTCACCTGTTTTGTCAATTCTCACACCACTGCTCCCTGCATTCAAAGCATACCAGGCCATGACAGCCATACATGATCATTGAGTTTTAAAGGTGGAATTTGGGTTATTATTATGCAATATGCATAGAAACACCCAAAGTCCAGATATTGCAGTGATATAATAGGCTTTCAACTGCAAATTTTGCTTGTATTTATGTGATTTAATCATGCTTGACAAAGCCCAAAAGTAAGAAAAATGCTAGAACCTGATATGGTGTTGAGCTCACAAAGATAAACAAGATGGACTTCTTGACAAGTGCGGACATCTGAACCAGCCTTGTCCGAATTCTTCTCTATCATGTGACATAGGCTGAGTTCATTTAACACATGACAGATGTATGGAAATTGTGTGATCACTGTGGCGACCATAGCAGGATTCTCACTCATTTTCTGGACATAATTTAGCCCCACAACTCCCGGACCTTAGCCATCAAGGATATCGCCAACAACACCAACCAGTCATTATGCACTAAAATACCGTCCGACCTCAATGGTCCGTCCTTCCCCCAATAAACGTACGCTTTATAAACGAGCAGCCGCTCCCGCCTCAGCTTCCACCTTCGGTGTTCTACCGCCCTGGCGCCAGTCTTGCTTATTTGATCAAGGTCGCGACGAAATCAGCTGATACTGGATGTTGCTATGCCGCAGTCAGCTGGTGTAGTCAGCTGGATGGTGATCGCTATGGTTGTGGCCATGGCGCCATCAATCATTTAAGAGGAGCAATTGAAGTGCCCAAGATCACAGCGTCCGGTGTTCATAGAGTTCAACATCGCAACATCCAGCGTTCATGACAGCCAAAATGCGTCCAATTCTGTGCCCACTGGATGAGTTCATAGCTCGCAACGTCCAAACTTCAGATGTACGATGCGCATGACATATAAAGATCACGACGTCTAAAATAAGTTTTGATATCTGCCGCTTCATAGCATGACAGGGAATATTCATTTTGGTTCCTGCCCGTTGATGGCACCCCAACGCCAGATTTTCATCTCAAGTCAACATATGGCTTTATCCACTCAGGGCAATAGAGACCGGGTAACACGAAGTTCGGTGCAAAAACTGCGGTATTATATTACAAATACAATAGATATGCAATGTGGGATAAATATACAGTTCGTGTGAAAATTTTGTAGTCGGCAACTGAAGGTAGCGTCGCCCAGGTGCTACGATAGTGAATGGGTGTCAGGGGAGCGTATGATAATTTTGGATTGGGGGGCAAAGACTTAACGAAGGACTCCCAAAACCAGTGGGCCTCTTTATTTCAGTGCAGGTGCGCAGCCAGGGCATTGGCAAGGGAGGGACACAGGGTTGACAAAGAGTCATTGATAGTAAAATCCCCCTAGCCCAAAAATCACCGAATGTGTCCCATTCGTTGACGAGGGCAGGCTTTTATACTTTTCATGTTTACCTTCTGCAACTGGAATAGGAGCCAGCAGCTATTGCGAGATCAATGTTGCCTGAATTTCATAGCCGACCAACTGAAGAAATAAATCGTGCGTTAAGTGACTACATGAAATCAATCATCGGCACTCTCCGTTTTACAATGGTAAATTACAAATTCTTTACAAACGGAAAGAGCTCGCAAGCATGGTCAGAATCTTATGTGAGCCGCGCAGACATATTAAGGACCCCGAAAATTCAGATAGAAATGGGTGAACAATTTGTACTGGCATGGCAAAGTAATGTTTGTTAGAAATATTCAGCATTCAGTAAGAATTCGAAGGTGATATAAATTATGTAACGTAGTTTTGAGCGCACGGGCTCGCAAATCTTAGGAAAAATCTCGACGCCAGGTGTTGCAGTCTCCAGAGCCACACAGCGTCCGCCCTGCGGTAATAGTAAATTGAAGCCAATGGGTGGACGAAAATTATGCCACATTTGAAAGAAATGCCTTCCAATGCCTTAGGACTTGAAATGAGTCTCTAGAAGGTAGCCGAGCGTATATTTCACCTAGGCGATTTTTAGGTTGACGATTTTCACTACGATTTTTAGGTTGACGATTAGTAGATTTGCATTGGCCTTTTCAGCACTACTTCGTGGTGCTGGAATCTGGTGTAAGAATTGGAGAGGTAAACGTTTTCTCTACTTTTATGGTGTTGCTCTAGCTGTTTATCTGCCCAGAGAACTACCTGAAAGTTGTAAAGAAGATATATCCAGCCTTATTTTTTAATGTTACGAATTAGTTTTCTAAGACTTTCGGAACCATTAGTCCACGAAGATGGCTTTCGTGCACGGCAACAGCCGCCTGGTGTTACTTACAGGGCCCAAAGCCGTTCATTTTTAAGGAAACTGCAACCCAGACCATCGCTATCCTTGCTTCCGAGATTGCGGGCGCGCAGGCTCAAGGACCTAATTCGTTTTTCAACTCATTTCGACCCACACTGTTCAGCTTTAACGAGACGGTTTATCTCTTTCTTGAGGGGATGAGTACCCCTTGAGTATAACATTAGGAGGTGCATTTTTGTTCCCGGTCAAGGGCCGGAGGGCCATTCCGTCCCACCGCTGGTTGTCTTCCAGCAGCCATCCTGGCGACACGGGGCGGATCCCCTGGCCGATCCGAAGGCCCTTAGAGAGATACAGCATATTACATTGGTCCCCCCCCCCCTTCCCTGGCGCGGGAGGCCTTCTGACCTGCGCAGACCGCAGCTGACTCCGGATTGACACAGGAACCTTCATTGGCGCAACGACATTCTGATCGCCGCAGGTGGTCCAATAACTGTCACATAAACCCCACTTCAGCTTAACCGGCCCCTGCTGGATTTGGGTTGGAGGTCCCACGGCACTGGGGACCTTGACTGGCACAGCACGCTTCCATTGCCTTAATGTGAGCCATTATAAGCTTTCATGTCTCTTTTGATTGTCAGAGAGTCCCCGACCAACGCGAGAAGCCTCTGTCATTTGGGGTTCAGACCCCGTCCCTGTTGAGCACATCTTTCTCCGACTGACTCGAGGCCCCTTGTTGATACAGAATACCTTGTTCGACGATGTGGACCCCTGAACTATACAGGAGCCCTGCATTGTTACAGGGGCCCCGACCAATGTAAATCGCGGGCCCGGCTGTGTCCCTGGGGACACATCCGGACACGCAGGCTCAAGCAGCTGCTTGAGAAATGAGCCCCCAGACCGACACCGAACCGACTGTTCGGTGTTGGTGATCCCTCGCGGAAACAGAGAAATGCTCTCTCACAGGGGTCTCCAATCGTTGCAAGAGGCTCCCTAACTGACATTTGAGATCATGGCCCTTCGGGCGGAGGTCCTTGATGTGACCTACAGCCAGCCAGCCCCTAGCCTTTCCATCGGGCCCTTGATCAATGTCCTTAGGACACCCTTCGATCCCTTTTTCGGGCTCCCTCAAATGCCGCTCCCGACCGACTCGGGCCACTTGCCGCTACACGACCCCTGTTAGGCACTGTGGCCCCTGACCAACACGAGACACCCTCATTGTGTCAGGGACCCCAGACATTGCAATTTACGAGTCCTGGCCTCCTTTCTGCTTGGGAAATGGGTCCCAAGGGCTCAGACGGACATGGAGCCAATTGTTTCGCTCCGTGTCGAAACCCTCTATAATAGGGATAGCGAACCCCAGTAAGAAGGGCCTAATAGAAGCCCTCTGACTTCACGTTTTAGGTCGTGGTACTACGGGTCGGGGGCCGGGTCCGAAACCATTGGGCCATTGATATTAGGTCCCGAGGGGCCCTCCGATTCCTCTTCGGACCTCCTCAAAGCCCATGACCAACTAGGGGCCACTAGCCGAATATGATTCCCCGTTATGCACTGTGGGCCCCTGGCTGACAAAAGGGCCCCAACCACCTGTTTCATGAACCCAGACCAATGCAAATTGTGGCCCTGGATCTTGCTCTTGCTTGGAAAAGGAGCCTCCAGAGTTCAGACTGACAGGTAGCCAACTGTTTGATGTTCGTGGTCTTTGGTCAGGTTGGACACTCGCATTGTCTTAGGTGGCATCAAACATGACAAGAGGACCTCTAACTGATATTTCAGGTCGCGACCCTATGGACCGCGATTCTTAATGTGACCTCTGTATCAATCCTGCGGGCCCTTATGCCCTTCAACCGGGCCTTTGATAGTCTGTTCCGATGGGCCGCCCGAACCCTCTGTAGGCCTCATCTAGGGGCGCAGCCAGGGCCCTGGCAAAGAGGGGGGGGGGGGGGCACAGGATTGACAAAGGGTCCCCTGATAGTAAAAGGGTATGTAGCGGTAGACCATGCCCCGGGACCGTGTTTGAGCATGTAAGGCGAGTGGGGAGATGAATCATGTCTGTGTGAGGGTAACAATCACGGCTCGGGGCGGTGCGTCACGGTGGCGCCGGCCAGTCGCTCGCAGGTCGTGTTGCGGGGATGAGCCTTGGAAGAAGTACAAGAGGTGCTGCTTGGGCGTGTGGGGTGGGTCTCTCCCTGTCGGCGTCGTGTGCGGCAGATCACCGCTGCGTGTGAGGCAGTCCGACCGAGAATTCTTTTCATCATGGAATACAGGCTATTTCGGCCAGAATACCCGAGATCCCCGGCAGCGGCTGCAGGCGGTGTGACAAAGTCCGCAATACGACCCGGGCCGGCACCCGCGCGGAGGCGCTGGACCTAATGAGCGTTCTCGCACGGGCACGAGCGGTGCTCAGCGATGGACGCATCGCTGTGGCAGCGGCCGTGGCGCGTGCAGAGGCGCCTCCACGAGCCCCGACGACGCGCTTGGCGAGATGCCCACTGCGACGCTGCTGGACGTGCGGTGAGTCGGGCCACGTCGCCGTCGCCTGCCCGCGGCGTCGGACGGGAAGCGAGCCGGGGGACACCGCGTCAGCGCGAGCGCCGTCTCCCCGCCATTGAGGGGCGCGTTGCCCATCACCTGGCTGGGGGTGAACGGCCGAATGGTCGGGGTGCTGGTGGACGCGGGCTGCACGGACGCGCTCGTGTACGCTGGCCGCTGCGAACAATAGACACCGCGGACGGTGAGAGTGGCTACGATTAGCGGCCGGTGGAGCGGTACAGCAGCCTCGCGCGGCCGGTGGAGCGGTGGAGCAGCCTTCCGCGGCCGGTGGAGCGGAAGAGCAGCCTCCCGCGGCCGGTGGAACGGTGGAGCAGCCTCCCGCGGCTGGTGGAGCAGCCTCCCGCGACCGGTGGAGCGGTGGAGCAGCCTCCCGCGGCCGGTGGAGCGTTGGAGCAGCCAGCTGCAGACCCGGCGCGCGGCCCGTGATGCTGACCCGGAGACTGCGCGATCGGTCGGGACGCCGGATGGCGACGTGATGGAAGATGGCTGTTGGCTGCGACCTAAGGGATCTGCCGCAGATCGCATCAACGGCGACTGGGACGGAACCGGTGGGCATCCTGGCCTGTCCTGAGCAGCCAGAGGAAGAAGTTGCGACGATGCCGCTGCGACGCAGCCAGCGTGTGCGCCGGCAACCGAGGCAACTTTATGGTGTGTCGAGTGATTGGATAGTATGAAACGTTGGTGTGAGTGTATGATCTTTGAAAGATCATGGGTGGGTGTAGCGGTGAACCATGCCCGGCACCGTGTGTCAGCATGTAAGGAGAGTGGGGCGATGACTCATGTCTGAGTGAGGGGAACGATCACGACTCGGGGTGGTGCGTCACCGTGGCGCCGGCCAGTCGCTCGCAGATCGTGTTGCGGGGATGAGCCTGGAAGGAGTACAGGAGGTGCTGCTCGGGCGCGTGGGGTGGGTCTCTCCCTGTCGGCGTCGTGTGCGGCAGGTCACCGCTGCGTGAGGCAGTCCGACCGAGAATTCTTATATATATATATATATATATATATATATATATATATATCACGTTTTTATCTCCTATGACTGAAATAAAGGCCAGACGCTACCGTGCCATCAATTCCGCCTTAAGCTGTGGCCAACGGGTTGATAAAAATAATGACGTCTGAAAGAAGTACTTTTAAACGTTCTAGGACGTCAAATTGTACGGTTGAAGGTGGTCCGAACGAATATTGCACCTGTGCGATTTTGAGATCGATAGAAAAACGAATTGGCATTTCCAGCACCGCGAAGTGGTACTGGCTGGTTGGAGCGGCTCCAGGATTTCTTCAAAGGAGAGGAAAGGTGCACGCAATATTGCAGGACCCCTGGAATTTAGGGCCCCTTCAAAAGTATCCTTTCATTCCGGTCATTTTAAGACAAATAGCATGCAACATATATATATATATATATATATATATATATATATATATATATATACACACACACACACACATATATATATATATATATATATATATATATACACCATACTCTGCATATCAGTAGCATACACTGATCATCAAAGTGTCTCGGTGACTTACCTTACAAGAGCCCCTGCAACAGCGCAAGGCCCTCCAAGCAAGTCGAAAGAACCCGATACTAATATGAAGAGCCCTGAACAACTGAGTGCACCCTGGCATATGGGGTCCCGGAAAAGCGTATAGAGCTTTTCAGGCGAATGAGAAGAATTCGTAGACGAAAACTTGCATCGATCAAGGGTGCCCAGGCATGGAAGCAGATAGCGTCCCAACATCAGCGTTAGGCTCTACGAGAAAACGCAGAGACCAAGGGCAACCTGGAAAGCTTCTTAGCAATCAGACTGACCCGGCAAGTGGACATATAGGGCCAGGGCAACCAACAGTGCAATGCCTCTAGACAGCGTAATGTGCCTCCAAATTTTCCCTAAGCAACACCTTCTCAATCAACGAAGAATTAACTTTGTCTGGTTATGAACTCTTTACTTTTGCTAGCAATTGTTTCTGGTCGTCTGCGGGGTCCCAAAGGTTTCGAATTTTGCTGAGTTGTTGTTGGAAAACTGCGCGCGTTCGGCCGGTTATGGGCCCCTTCGGGACCTTTAGGTCCCCTCAGCATGCTCCATGGGGGCATGGTCCCGTGCCTCTGCCCCACCCCGCATCCGCCACCAGCCCGAGCAGCTTAATAAATGGGATCCACCAAGGACATGGATTCATCCATTCAAAAAAGAAATACTCACGACACAGTATGTAGGGCTCCGAACGATCGAGGCTGTCCGAGCTGGTTGGCCTCTAGGGTCATCGCTTTAAATAGCAGGTACCTAAGACCCAATGTAGAGAGCCCCCGAATGATTCGAGAGCCCGAGCAGAGTATCAGATGGCCCCGACAGGAGTATAGGGCCCTAAATTTAAACACCAAGACCCAATAAACAGGGCCCTGAACAATCCAGCGCGGCCGAGGCGAACAGATGGGTTCCCGACAAGTGCGTAGGACCCTCTACTCAGATAGGAAGTACTCAGGACGCAATGTGGAGCCCAATAACCGAGTGCGCCAGGGCAGATTAACAGATTGGGCCCCAAAAAGAGCGGAAAGACCTCCATTCAAATAGGAAGTATCCATAACCAGATGTAAAGGTTCCCCGACGATCAGATGGGGCCCGAGCAATCAGAAGGGCCCCGGCAAGAGCGTAAGGCCCTCCATTCAAATAAGGAAGTACCCAAAACTCAGTGCGGAGGGACCCCGAAAGGTGGAGTGTACTCGAACAGGTTATCAGATGACCCCGGTAGGGGCGCAGGGCCGCAAGACCCAATGTGCAGAACCCCTGAACAATCCAGTGTGGTCAATGAGGCGAACAGAGGGGATCCCTCGACAAAACGCCTCGACAGCCATATTTTTATTGACCTTTATCGCCACATGGGTTATGGAATGCCAGGATTTGGATGACGTTATCCTGACGTCATAAATGCCAGTGATTTCGCAATACTCTCCCAGATCTTCCTTTCTCCATGTTCGCGGATCGTGTAGGTCAGAAACTAGATGGGCTTAGCTCTTAACAACGAAAGGGTTGTGAACAATGCCGAGAGGTCTTCAAGGTGGCCATTTGGGTTCAACACCCCATATAAATGTGAAACACTCCTCTTAACGGACGCATTCTGGAATTCCATTGAACGGCTCGCCGTCCGGTATTCGGGGTCTTGCCTAGTATGGAAACCTTCCATTGTCTAAGGATAAACACGCATGAATTATGTGCGCTTTCATTGTCGGAGGGCCACGACCAACGCAAGAGGTACTCTTGTCATTCAGGGTCCCGCTTCCGTCCCTGTTGACCAAATGTTTCTCTAACAACTCGAGACCCCTTGCTGACGCGGAACACCCTGCTAGGTGCTGGGACCTCGCATTGCGTTGCGGGCTACGACCAATGCAAATTGCGGGCCCGGCCTTGTCCTTGCTTGGGAAATCGGCTACAACACAAGACCGACAGGGACCCGACAGTTTGGTGCTGGTGATCCCTGACTGAAATGGATGAACGCCTTGTCTCAGGGGTCCGTAACCGGTACAATAGACCCTGACATTTGGGATCACGGCTCTACAGGCGGGGCACTAAATGTAACCTACAGCCCTTCGGCCTTCCCATCGGGCCCTTGATCTTGATCTTCCAACCGATACCCATAGTTGCAAGCAGACCCACAGCAGACTTGCACACCAGGTTATTAACCGCCATGAAAAAGTCTCAACATACTTGTTTTTATTCAATAGATGGCTTCTGCGATCATTTCAGAAATCAATCAGATATTAAAACGGTGACAATGAATGCTTCCACTTCCATCTATGTCCATCACAAAAGCCATGCCATCGAAATGGGCAGGGCAGCTTAACTAATCCGAAGGAACCTTGCAGCACAAGCATGCGAGACGAACTCATGGATCGAGTCTCAGTACCTTCCCCGCTTCCCCCCACGACCCCTGCCGCGGCCGCGGTTCCCGGCCTTCCGCTTGTTCTGCATGCGTCTGTTCTTCCGCACCTCCTGCTGATCGTCCAAATACTTGATCTCCTCCTCGCCGGCCAAGACTCTTGCCTCCACTTCGACCCCATCAATTTCTAGTTTACCAGCCTCACTTATTTTGGCGAACACCTCTGCGGCGGATCCGGCCTCCTTTAGACGGGCGAAAGCCTCTGCGTCGCCCTGCGTGAAGTCAACGAAAGCAACATCCGCTCCCAATTCCACGAGTCGGTCCTTGATGTGGGTCCATTTCGTCGTCTCTTTGATGCCCTTCAGCACGAGCACGGCACCCAGAATGTGCTCCGGCTTCTCCTCCTTATCATTTCCCTCCTCTTTCTCGTCTCCACCCGCGGCGTTACTTGTACCATTCTTTTCGGCCTTTCCGTCACCATCTGCGGCAGCCTTCAGGTTTTGTTTGCGCTTTTCCTTGCCTCTTTTGCCCTCCTTCATCTCTATTTTCTTTTCCTCCACGTAGTCTGCTTGCCATTTTCTGATGAGCTCTTCACCGCCATGCTTCACCGATTCAAGCTTAAGAAAAGCTTCCGCCTCCGCTTTTGTTGGGAATGTTACAAAAATGGACCCCTTGAACTTCCACTTGTCCTCTACTTTGTCGTGGTAATTCCTCATCTGCACATTGTCCGTCTTGCCATATGATTTGAGAAATTCCAGCAACATATCCAGAGTGCAGCCCTCCTTTGGAAACCCCTTCATGTACACCGACCGTGCAATGATTTCCTGTCTCCGGGCGTCGGAAAGCTCCGGAAGCGGCTTATCCGGACATCTCCGAATCTTTGTCTTATCTTCACTCACTTCCATAAGCTTTGCTGCCGACTTAGCCAGAGCACCACAAATGACATTTGGGTCATTGCTCAAGACTTTCAACCTTTGGAAGTTGAGCATGGTTTCCATTGACACCCAGCCTTCATCTTTCTTGATCTGCTCCTGGAGAAACTTGTCCTTAGGCAAATTGTAGTCACCAAAATAGTACTCAACTTGGCGAATAATCTTCTGATCTAATTCTGATGGCTCGTTGTTGTCCTGACTTGCTGAAACTTTCTGGTCCATTTCTGAGGGGCCAGTCTTCTCTTCTGTAACAGTGGTCTCCTGCTCCACTTCTGACATGATGGTCTGATCTTACACAAACACAATGTGTTCTAAGAGAAGACTATTGGTGAGTTTTGCAGCCTCACACAAGCAATCTGAAACAAAGGATATGGAAATTATAGAAGGATTGGTAACTTCCGCAATCTGCTCAAGTTACTGCATGATTACTGATACATGAAACTGCAAACATAATTAGCCATCTTTATCAATGGTAATAGTTGTGGAACCAAGTGTATCAAACAGTAAACCCTGAATCTGCCAGATTCTCCTAAAAGATACAAGTGAGACATTCTAATCACATTTTGATATGCTCACACAATATTATGTGCAGCATCATGTCATGTCATTGGGGATTTATGACGCACTCAGCTGCTGAGGCTATATGGCATTGCCTGCCTCTCACCCTGGCAGGAAGGGCGGGCACCGCATGGAGTCGAACCCTGTACCTCTGGTTTCCCAGACGCACAGCGGTTAATGCAGACGCCTTAACCAATACACTACCAGCATCCCTTCATGTGAGGCATCAATGGTATTTTCCAAAACTTTATTCTGGAAGCAATCCTTATAAAGCACATTACCAAAAATCTGACAATGAAACAAGGACATCTCATGATTATGAGACAAGCTAAGAATTAAGCCAATCACAGGGAGGCAAAAACCAGGTTCTAAGACAATGCAAGATTAAATATTATCAGCAGTTATTCTGAAACATAAAAACAACAATCAAAATACAACTATGCTGATAGTTATGCCCCCATTACACTCCATGCATGTGTGGCAGTATGATGGTATATTCAACTTATGGCATGATACATCCAGCATTCCAGCCTTTAGTGAATGTTTCAACTGAACACTTCTGACATGCCAGTTTTGGGTCTAATATGGTGAACTCATGTGTTCATGGACAAGAGGCATCCAGTGTTGCAGATAGCATGTTATGACAATGGAATACATCTAGCACTTGACATGAATTGCCAAACAAGGTCCATGATACCTTCAATTAAGCAGGAAGTGTACTAGCCAGCAAAACTTGTGACATGTCTTCAGAGGCATAACTAGTCTACATAAAGGGTGCCTTGCTGGATGCAAATATGTGATGTGTATATAATGCAGTACATTTATGTAGGTAACCTTCATGTCTGCGATCACAGGAAAGCTAACAGCATGAGGAATACCTAATTGTGATCAACAACTTTTCTAAATCACAAAACTCCCACACAACCACTATGTATTTCAAACATGCTTTATACAGTATTATCAGATTATCCATGCTTCATGTTACCTCTGCTTACATCAGGGTTTATTGCAAAACTGTCATGTCTTAGAAAGTTCACATATATGAGACATTCTGTTGCATAGCACACCAAGTTACGTAATGCACAAAATTAAGATGAGACTACAATACAGCCTGTCATGAGTTAACTAGAAGTAAATTACAGTTCATAAAGAGAAGAGAAGGGTGCCGGTAGTGTAGTGGTTAACACATCTGCGTTAACCACTGCCCGTCTGGGGAACCAGAGGTACGGGGTTCGATTCCCTGTGCCGCTCGCCCTTCCTGCCAGGGTGAGAGGCAGACAACGCCATATAGCCTCAGCAGCTGTATGCATCTGTAAAACACCAATGACACACACTACACAAAAGAGAAGAGAATAATGCCTAAGAGTCTTTCAGTTCAATACCCTCAGGGAGCAGAAGCCAATAGGAAACATCCTACATCTATGTGGGGTTCTGAACTAAAATGGCTATCTTGATGACCTTTCAGCACTCTTTACAATCCTGCCCTTCTTAAGACCTATGCCTCTCTGGTTTCTGAGATATACATTTACAAAAAAGGGAAAGGTATATCAGGGAGGGTAAGTAAGTCACCCTGGGATTCATGATATCATATCATTCAAATCCTGTCATTCTATATCCATGTGAGCCCAGACATCACAGCTCTCAACTGGCTTCCCAGCCAGTGTTAAGCAATGTGCTGATGTAATCAAACAATGACATATTGAGGAGCATGTTAACTGAACAGAGAATTGCGCTACCTAGAGCAGCCTTCTCAACCTAAAGAGCATGTCAATAGTTATCAGTGAGCTTGTTTTATCATATCTGATACTTGCTTCAATACCTTTAAATGTAAAACATTTCATTTAAGTACCACTTTACATGCCATGGCATACAATCTGGATTAACATAATAGACAACAACAAACTTTTTCATGCAAGTTGACTGAAGCCAACAATTGAATCAAATGTAAACCAGCTATCAAATACAATAAAATGCCCCCAAAACAATGCAAAATGAAGCCAGCCAAACACATACATGTTGTTGCATACCCACATACTGCAAAGATACATGTTAGCAAAACACATCCGGCATAGCAGCAACATTGCTGAAACAATATCAGTTTCCATGGTGGCATGCCATAAAGCTGAGCATTCTGATGCCTGGCACACTCACTACAAATTACTGTGCATAGACCATGTTTCAAGGAATTATGTTGCAAGTCATTCCAGGCAGGAATGCCCCCAAAACATTATCCCAACCATAAACATTTGACACTTTTACGGAATTTGACCTAGCCCGGGCTCCACGCACGCCTGTGCCAAGTTAAGTCGCACCAGAGGCCGTACCGCACCCATTTGGCGCAAGCGCCTGGCACAACGGACGGTTTCTTGCATATTGCTCGCACCCCAGCAGCAATCTCAACTGCCCCCAAAATCCTTTCTTCCAGTCATCATTAACGTATACAATCAGGCCGATGCACCGAATTTGAATAACTCGGTGTCAGAAGTACCCACCCGGGTCCACCACCGGCCAAACGCTCCCACACGTGTCTGCCAAATGCGATGCAGAAGACACCACGCCGCGGCTCTTCCTCCGGGATTACTGCGCACAGCACGCTTGCGGTACCCAACGCGCCAATTTTGTCGCGCTCACGCCACGGCGCCGCCACATGGACTTCGGCCTGACGGCGCCATTGGGCAAAATCAATGGCGTTCTTAACATGGCCTTGACACCCTTTGTCATCTATCCATGATTACAGATTTCTCGCAATTCTGTATAAAGAAAAGGTTTTCAATTGTTGATAACGCTTAAATATATGTGGTTAAAACATCTCCAGCTACGATTTTTTGCTACCAGATAACCAATGTTTTCTCGGCTGCAATCGCCATTGTTTCCCATAGAGATGCCGTAGGAGAGCTGTTCCGGATCAAGTACCTAAAAGCCCGTCGTCATGCATTTGATTTCATAAAACATCTTTTATGACAAATCTATCACGTTCAAATTTATGAAAAGAAGTTTGGTATGGACATTGAGGGCTTAATACGAATATAACATAAAATATCATTTCAAAATGACTGAAACGCCAGCGCTCGAATCGTATTAGAGTACTCAAGTACCGTGTCACCGTTCGCCCAGTGCTATTTTCCAATGGCGTCGCTGGGTGGCCTGCGAGATTCCGTGTAAATTATGGTTGCTTGTCAGCGAGAAGCGGTTTCTATGAATGGAAAATAGCCCGCGGTGAGTATTTTTCTTCGGAAAGAGGCTTGCTTCCTGCCTGGTGCGCGTTTGGAGGAACGCGAATAGGCTTTATATGCGTGAAACGCCTCCGGATGTGCGGCATTTCTGGTGTTTACTTTTGCAATCTCCAGTTTTGATTATATACATTTTGGTGTAATTATGAAATGGTCAGGTGCTTTTTGAGCTCTGTAGTACTGCCTGCTCTTGCACCCTTGTTCCAAGTGTATTTGATATACCAGTGTCAAATTCTGCATTGGGGGAGTTGAAGTGTTAAGATGGTTGAAATGGCATGCAAAAACATTTTGCAGGTGTTTTACTGGTTTCCTAAGAATAGGTCAGCATTGATTACATTCTCAAATGTAGGCCACCTGATGTGATCCATTGAAGCCTTAAGTTTGCACTACATTGGACTGGGCATCATGGCAAGTATTGGGTGTGACCATTACATTCTGACTTGGGAAACATGAATGAGAGAGAGGACTTAGAATGCAAAAGGGTGTTTGGCAAGGCTAAGTCCAATAGGACCTGAAGGTTCCATATTAGTGTTGGTACTGGAAGTTCCCCTCTGATGGTTCATCAGGTGTTCTTTAGGTGCTTCCAGCAACATGGTTGTTGAAATTGTGTTGTGGCTACTGAGCCTGATTCTGTAGATTAAATACATCCAGTGCTGTCCAGTGCCTGCACAAAGGGTTTAGGGGTGTGTTGTGTGGGGAGCTGCCTATCTGTGGGCAAGCTATTCCATTAATTACCACACATACATGAAGTGCTCTGGGATGGTGAAGACCATGCCTATGAGCTTCCAAAGTTTCAAATGGTATCCTTGAATACCATGCTTCCAGATACCATGTTGGAATAATTTATTATGGTTGATTCTCAGCATGCCTCTGGTTATCTTGTACACCATGAGCATGTCTCTGTAACATCTCTGGTAGCATCTGGGTGTGACACACTGTGGACCAGCTTGTTTGCCATCCTTATCACTGGATTTACTTCATCCTGTTCTCCACAATATATCCCCATCTGACATCACTCACAGAGAACATTTTTTACATTCTTTCCAGTGTATTTTTGTGGAGAACAGAATGTTTTGGGGCTAAAAACACCAAGAAACACAAAAAGTTTCAGACACTGTATCAGACTCAACATCAGTGAGTAGATGTAGCAGTGCTAACTTTGTATGACTGGCTTGCTGTATGAGAAGGAAAGGATTCCTCTGACCCTGCAGCATTGACCTCTGAACCCTAATCCCGCAGCAGCCTGATGTCCCAGGTGGTGTAGTGTCTACATAATGTTGTGGAACTGGTGGTCAGAGAAGTCTTATCCCAAACAGATTGTGCAAATCATGATCTCCATGAGTTGAACCAAATTTCTTCTGAAAGTTAGGGGCTGGCATCCCATCCAACAAAACAGGAAACTACATTACTAGTCCCAAATTAAGTATATCCAGGTCAGTATAAGCCTAGGTGGGTATCACATTGTCCCAGAATCTTTCCCCTAGGTTAGAAAGATTGCAGATTGACTAGAAGGTAGCTGCACTTCCTACTATACCACAGATGCTTGTATTTACATTATTTTGGTCTACATGGCTTTTCAATCATGAATTTGTCATGATGTGCTTGGGGGAATTTGTCAACAGGTGCACAACATTTTAAGCATTGGTTTCAATCAGCCTAGATTGGGACTTACATCTTTACAAGATAATTGCCAATATTGACAACTTTCTATCAGCTCCATAGCTTCAAAAAATACAGTAGGCGTGAGCCTAGACATAGGAGAGAAGCACTTACCAAGGAAGCCAGGAAATCTAAAAATTGCAAGTAGCAAATCTCTATTGGTATTTGGCAGTTGCTGAGACCAGCTAGAGCATGGTGTTTATCTGCTGCCATCTGCTGCCAAAGAATGATCTTTAGTCCCAGTTGTGAATACAATGCAATTTTATCTGGGTTATTTTGTTCTCACTACAAACCATGGTTGTATAATTTTTGTTCTCTCCCCAAGAGCCAAAACCAAATTTCAGGTACTGTCCCAGCATTGCCCTCCCACAAACACCCTCTGTTGACAGCCTGCCAGGAAAGCTACAGTCCACCTCAAAACTTGGTGCAAACCCTTAGCTTCTTGGGTTTCACCAATAGCCTGCAATGGAGGACATTGTCAAAAGCATGAAATCCACTGACCTTGGATGGTCTGGGGCTTGTGACCACCAATCAAGCATAGACAGCAGCTTTTTGAAATAAGCTGCTGACAGGAAGATTTTTGTGGCATAGTTCATGATGCATTATTTCTAATGCATGAACATGGTTAATGTTATGGCTATTTGTATTTCAGATATCCCCATTGCAGTAATTTATGTCAAATATAACTCCTTGATGATATATCAGCTTTCTTCATGTTGTAGCTCACAGGTTTATGCAATAGTTGCTGTATTTGTGTTTTTTTAGAATTTTTAGTGGTTTTGAAATTGTTGCTAAGTGATATGTGAGTGCTATCATATCAGTGAGATATCAGTGAGATATGTGATATGTGAGATAGTCAACATATCAGTGAGATATGTTGAGTGCTAAGTGATATGTGAGTAGAGTGTGGTGCCAGTTTTGAATACATGCATATGTTTCTACACATATTGCTCATCATCTGCTTGATCTTGTTAGGAGCTATTTTGTATTCCTCAATTCTAGCACCATATGTAGCATAGAGCAAGATATTGAGCTTCTTATGAACTATGCATGGCATAGAGAGTTGCTGCTCCTGTAAGGCCACTACAGACTTTCCATGTGTCCTAGAGTGATGCCTGGAATATTGGGGCATTTCCAGCAGCAAATGCTGCTTTTTCAAGCTGTAAGCCAACATCACCCTTGGGCAGCGCATGCCAGCAATTATTATGCTTTTCCAAGGATTGAGATAGTCATTTAAAATATTATCATGTACCTTAACAATGTTGGCCTCAGTGACTTCATGCCTTATGAACCTGAAAAATATTATCACTTCATACAGGTCTAAATATTTGGAGTAATTTCAAGGTCACACATGTAATACTTTTCTCCACATAATGTTTCCTAAGAAATGTCTGGATGCCTAAATTACAACTCACTTTTGGGGCCTTCTGCCATGTGGTGCTGTCAGTGGCAGTGATTTGGCCACGTCGAACCCAACTGTCAGAACTGCACGGCAGGGCTTCCAGCATATGGTAAATATGGTCTGAGGAGCACAAAGGCCGAATCTAATTCTGAAACCCTATGGTCAACTGTGGCAAGGACCAGGAAATTGGTGAATGAAATGGGGTTTGGTGTCCCTGTTGAGTAGATTTTAATAGAAATGTATTTCTAGGCTAATGCGATGCTCAGCCTACAAAGCCAAGTTATTTTAATCTCAGGAATAGTGATGTGAGCTGCTGCCTTGACGCGCTGACCCTGGTTGATACGCACTGATTGGCTTAGTGTAGGGAACCTGGTATCTGGAAGGTGGTATCTGGGGGAGTCGACCAACTGGAAGTATTGTCTTCAGTATAGATGTTATGTGGGCACTGACTTCTCATTCCTCATTCACTGACTCATCCTTACTGTGGGAAGTGGACTGGATGGCCGTCTGGGTTGACCGGTCCCCATGTAATGTATTCTAGAGTGCATGTATGGAAGGGAATATTTTGGAAATCGCAATGTTGTCTATGTCAAGAAGAACCTGAGCCAAACTGTGCCCACGTCCAAGGATGTCCAGAGGTCCCTGCTAATCAGGAGATGTTCTGCTCACCAGTCACTACCAAAGGGTCACTGTTCCCTTTCACCCAGCAGGTTTATCAGAGCATTCAACCATTCTTTTCGGTCATCCAGTGGCGAGGATAAGTTGGAGGATATTACGTGATCACATGTGCTGCGGTGAAAACAGCCGGGCGTCGGTTGATGTTTCGTTTATCAACGCCTGATATCTCAGTGCAAAGTTGACCATACAATAGCAATGTGATGTATGCAACAAAAAACATGGGGAACCGTGTCGTGAATCATGATGTTTGTCAGACGTGGAAGATCCCTAAGCCATATGGGGCGCGGTGGCACACAAACTGCGGTGGGCAATCGGTTATGGTGGGGGATTAGGTGGTAACAACAACATTTTCTTGGTTTAGATCGTTAGCCCAGTCTCGTGAGGTTGTGTACCCGCTGGTGCACACTACTGCCGAGTGAAATACTAGACAAACTTTGAGGTGGATCGTCCCGAACCGGACGGCTTGTACTCGTCAAAGCCAAGCTTAGTCGTCTATTGTGGTCAAACGGATGACAATTTTGGAGGTATAACAGCCAGGGTTTGTGTTACAATTAATAACTTATCTCATGATTAATTGGCGTGATAGATTGTGGAAAGATCAGGGACTCGGGCGACGCCGTAAACAAGAGTTGGGATTTTAACTCTTGTCATTTAACTCTAATGCATGCCAAAGCAAAACGTTCATTCCTAATGAAGGGTTCGTGTTCTTTTTCAGCATTGTTTTAAGCTAACCTACAATGGACCCAGACCTTCCGATGGACTTTTCGTCGTTTGGCAAGGAGGAGGAAGAGGCTCGACTGGAGGGGTTGGCGGCCGGCGCTGCCGGCGCCGACACCGCCTGTCCGGCCTTCGCCGAGCCGCCGCTGGTGGTGAACACGCCGCAGCCGGAGCTGGCGCCGCCAGGCACGCCGGCCGACCTGCCGGCCCCGGCCTCGCCGGCGCCGGCCGCCAGCCTGGCTGCGGAGGCGCCAAGCAGCGTCCCGCCGCCGGACGGCGTCGGAGCGTCGGCCCGGGCCGTGCCGGACCCGGCCGACGCCAGCGCACCGGCCGGCGGCGCCGGAGGAGAACCGGCGGGGAACGCCGCGGCGCTTGTCGGCGGTCCGTCGGGGCGCGAGACCGGTCCCGGGGACGCGGCTGAGGTGATGGTAGTGGCGGCCGACGCTGAGGGCGTGTGGCAGTCAGAGCGCGGCGCCGGCCCGGCCACTGACGGTCGTCAGCAGCAGCAGCAGCAGGCTGTAACGACTGACGCCGGGCCGACCCCCGGCAGCGACCCGGCTGGGGCAGCGGCTAACGGGCCGGAGCTGGAGGTGCTAGGCCCGGCCGGCCCCGACGCCGAGGCCGAGGTCGGCCCCGGTCAACTGGCAGCCGTGAAACAGGAGCAAGGCCGGCTGGCGCAGATCATCGCCGACATCGGCATCCCGGCGCCGGCAGAGTCGGCCGCCGCCACACAGGTCAAGCAGGAGCGCATGCGGTCGGATGACACTGAGCCCGAGCCAGAGTTACAGCTGGAGGCCGAGCCCGACCGGGAGCCGGAGGCGGAGCCGGAACCGGAGCCAGAGCCAGAGCCAGAACCGGCGGCGGAACCGGTCCCGGTGTCGGCCCCGACGCTGCCGCCGCCGCCGCCGCCGCCCCCGCCACCACCAGACGTGCACTGCTTGGTTTGTAACGAGCCGCTGACGGTGGAGGACGTCTGCATACAGCTGGCCGACTACCTGGAGAACGCGCACGTGCGCGTCGAGGAGAAGCTGAGCAACGTCATCAACAACGACTACCGGCTGTACCTGCACAGCGAGGTGGTCTGCGACCGCTGCCACACCACGCTGTGCGAGATTCACGACCTGGAGGTAAGTCATGCGCCCCACCCCCCTCCCCCAGCCGGACGGCTCTGCTGCGCGCGACGGCGAGCGTTTGGTTGTGGCTGGCTTGCAGGACGTAGCAATTGGCTGTGACGATGTGTCGTTAGGGCTTAGCGCCATAGACGGATTTGGATGGCGCACACCCCAATATGGGATGTGCGCCACGTGGTCAGGGCAGGCGGCGCGACCTAGTGCCCAAATCACGTAAGTTGTTCGATGCATAGGCGAGGAGCATTATTCACATAGATAAGACGTCGGTATTAGCCTTATTCCTTGGAGAAAAACCAGGAGAATGGAGATATAGTTCGATGATGTTTCGGCAGCATGCATTTATGGGAACATTAGCAAAATTGTTTGCATTAAGTTGGCCCCGACGCCGAGATCGAGGTCGGCCCCAGTCAGCTGGCAGCTGTGAAACAGGAGCGTGGCCGACTGGCGCAGATCATCGCCGACATTGATGCCTCACTTCTTTGGCCACATGGCGCCCATCTTATATTCGGGTGTGGCCAAATATGGAATGGGCGCTGAGCAGACCTTTGCACCGTTTCTGCTATCGTTTCAATTAAGGCGTGTTGCCGAAATATCAGCCCAACCATATGTCCATTCTCTGGGTTTTGCTCCGAGGAGTAAAGCCAATACTACTGTCTTATTAATGCCCAAATCATTACGCCCGAATATAGGATGGGCGCCATATGGCCAGGGCAGACGGCGTGACCTAATGCCTAAATCATCGTCATCACACCCGAGTATTTGGTGGACGCCATGTGGCCAAAGCAGGCGACGAGACCTGATGCCCAAATCATTACATCCGAATATGGATGGGTTAAGAGCTTCACCTTATCTGACGATATAACCGTGGCAATTAGAGGAATAGTGCCGGCTGAAAAGATCGGTTAGATACGCGAGACTATGCGACATACACTTGGTAACCATTCGTTTTCTGTACACTGTTGTGACAATGCGAAATATCGGCCTTGGCACGGGATCCATAGAAAAGTTCGTGCGGTTGCGATGCTCTCACTGTGACTACGATTTCGTATTCCGGCTGTTTTTTTGGCTATAACGACATTATTTGTCGTTACAGCCGAGGACAAAGCTGGAAGGTGGAGATGGTTTGTCGGATAATTAGTCGATGGTATCAGGCATTATTAATGTGACTCCGTGGATGCGTAAGGCTTATCGAAACACCTTATTGAATTAAATGTGTCCAAAATTGGAATACCCTCCTGGTTTATTAGATGTGGTTCGTTTTGTCACGGGGTTTGTGTTTAATCTGCGGTGGTTTGGCAAGATTTTGGCCCTAGGTGAGGCGAGTACAGCAATGTGGCACTTCAGTCTCTTAGCGTTTTAGCGTATAGCACTACGACCGAGAACAAAGCGCAAAAGTAACAATACTTCAGTTGTTTTTGGTGTTTGACGAAGTGTTTGTGGTAACTGTAATTTTACGCTCATTGTAGGGAAAATGAAATTGTGGAACATCTGAGGCAGGCACACTCTACCAGGCATCAGTGTGTATTGTTTGACATCACACCAACTTACGAAATGCATACCAAGTGCACTATAACAGCTGAGGTGTTTTGAGGTTTAGCGAATACAAAGGTAGGACATTTTAGTACGGGTTTTGGACTAATGTTTTAGAAACGCTCCCCGTGCTTTTACTAGATTTGAGATACATTATCAGCGATCAGCTGCACAGATCACACGTAAAACTCTACTTATTGATATAGTTGGCGCATGTCTCATTTAGTTGCCTGCAGTATGCTAGTAAAAACAATATATCGGTTACCGGGAGCTGAGTTTGTAAATGCCAGACTGCTGCCACGAATAGAGCTCGGCAGCACACACCTTGCCGCTGACCGTGTGAAGTCCGCCGACACTTCCAAGTCAGAGTGGTTTGGATCTCCTTTCAGATGCAGTCGAAGCACCTGAAGGACCAGGTGGTGGGCTTCTTCTGGGACACGGTGGAGGTTCGGCGCGTTCGTCCGCAGCGGAAGGGCAGGCGCAGTGAGTAGGCCCACCAGCATTCCGTCCCTGTCACCAGTGTTCGCTGTCTCCAAATTGGGGTGGGGAACATCGTGTTCAAAGCCGTTTTAGCTGTACGGCTGCCTGTCGACTTTGTAGGAGGTTTTTAATCTCTCCCAATAATTTGACACTTGCCATTTTGTTAAGATATATTATCCTCTGATAGAAATCCTGAACTGGTTTACTACATACTTCAGAGAACCATCTTAATCGGCGCATTCAAATTGGCATCGAGAGTAATTTGTAATGCGTTTTGAAAGTATGTTTTGAACATGATTCTGCCTTCAATATGTGGTCATAACTGGTTGCCTCGCTGCAGAAGATGGACAGTAAGCGTGAATTTCATGTGCAGTGTATTGCCAATCTGGGTTGTGGGTCGCCCATGTTTGTCTCTCCTCGGACTCATACTGAACACATTTTCAGAATCGAAACCATCAAAGCTTCTTCTGGAGGCGCAGGAGACAGCAATGTTTGTAAGTGTTCTGCACACAGTAACACGGACGGGTAGTAACATCTAATGATACGACAGCCAGTTACGATATGTCTCAATATTGCCGTGGTTTTTCTATGTCCAGATCTCTACACAGGTGAGCCGTTGCACAATATAGTCCGGGATTTTGCTATTTGCTGTTAATGCAATTTGCATTTATATTCTTACCTCCCTTTACAATTAAAATGAAATGGCATCTGAGGGATCATCTTTCCGATCTGTGCAGCTCAGCTGACAAGGTCTTCTTGGCAGGTGCCGACCAGCGCGCGGCTTGCGTATAACATGGCGGTTCGGAAAACGCGCGCGTATTTGGCTCATCTCTGGCGGTCGTTTGGCAAGATCGATTGCGTGATGTGATTGCCATTGTGCACCGAGGACGCTGATTCCAAAGCCATTCCCTGAGAACTATTATGTAAAATTCCTCGAAAGCGGGACATAGAACGTGATGGAGTCTCAAACGCAACACTGCCAGTCTTGCGAACGAAGTATTTGCTTCCCCACGGTTGCAAATTGCAAACGTGCGGGCTCGCGCGAAAGGTCGATGTTGGTCTCAACTTAACGTTCTGTCATAGCCACGTGCCATTCCAAGTGTGTTTTGCCGTAACCGTGTGCGGTATTTTGGGTGGACAGCGCGCGGCCGTGGCGTCCGGGGTGGCCGGCCGTTGTTTGTGACGGGCGGCGGCGTGTCGGCCAGATGCCCGAGGTGGAGCTGGCCATCCGCGAGGATTCTCCGGTCATCTGCAAGGCGCCGCAGAAGAGGCTCAGCCGCTACTCCAAGCCCAAGTGCTATGAGAAGCTGTCGCACAACGAGTACCAGTGCATCCGCTGCCACAAGACGCTGCCGCGCATGCGCGCCGTCATCAAGCACTTCGACCTGGTGCACGGCAAGCGCGAGGAGCAGTGTGACGTGTGTGAGAAGTACTTCCGCGATCGGCCACACCTGGAGCGGCACAAACAGAAGGTGGGTCGGTTGCCGGCGGCGACGGGGCGCCCCTGGCTGTGGGGAGCGGGGCCGCGCGGTACGCGTTGGCTAGGTGTATTGTGAAATCAGTGCCCTGGAGTCGCTGTCTTTGGGTGTAAAACAACATTCTATGAGGATTTTTTTCTGTTCTTCCCGATTTCTATGCTAATTACTCTCTCTCATCTGAAATTGTGTACCTCACATACTAAGTCCATATCTTCCTTTCACAGATGTTCCTATGGTGTAACCCAAGTCCTTGCTCCTTTAAAGCCACCACGTATAAACAAGGCTCCACAGAGCCTGTACTGCCATGGCTGTGCCCTGCCTCACGTGCACCCATGTCATGTGTGAATCATCGTGCTTGAATCACCAAATCAGCGCCCAAACTGGAACCTCTTTAACCCACGTGTCCATGACTCCAGTCAAGTTCTGAACTTCAAAAAAGTGAGCCAAAATGGAATGTCTTGCATTTTTAAAAGCAAATGTCAGCAGTGCAAATGCAAGGTAATCTATGATTTGAGATGTACCTTGCAGGGCAAGGGATCCCTGGTCGGTTCGTGCGGAACCGCGTTTATGAATACATGGATGCCCATTCATGATGGAAGGTTGGTTTTCGTAGTAAAAGGAGAGGAAAGACATCTTACCTAAGTCTACGATCAACGAGTGTCTGGCATGCTGCACACAAGCTAACAAACTAACATTCTAACATTCTAACCCTGGGTGTTCCGCCCATGTATGCACTGTTCTTAAAGCTGCGAGCCCCAGCTGCTCGCTTTCATCAATCTTGGTTTGCTTAAGAAATGCATTGCATAAAATGCAGCGATACAGCTGTGTGCCAAAAGGAAGGTGGTCTTGCATCCCGAAACTTTGTGCTTTTTTTGCTTGTCGCATCCATGCAAGCTCCACGCAAAGCTCGATACATAATTTTACTCCATGTCCTTTTTGCAAAGAGAATGACTACTAAATTCGACTACTCCTGAAATGTAGGAGTGAAAAATGCAAGGAATACGTTCTAAGTTGAGTTTAAATGCCAAATGTTAGCTTTGATGGAAAAAATACAAGTGGTGCAGTGGTTTACCTACTTGTGTTCTTGATCAATACCGAGGTGACAAACGTATTTTTGCCTCCCTTTGTTTGCGCTGGCCTTTACATATACTATCTATGGTTCGACATATTTATCAGTGTTTTCAAAATTAAATATATTGGATCAATTGTCCAGCCGCCCAAACATGTTCGATAGGCACCCAAAAGTGAAGAGTTTATAGCAAATAAAAGATAATTTTAAGGTAATTCCATTTCCAAAATCCCACGTTTGAAAACCTGCGAAGTGCGGTTTTTGGTTTATAGCGTGGCCCCATAATGGATAATTTAAGCCGTTCCAGCTTTGATACCCCAAGTGAAATTATCCGCGCATACCGTCGGGTGAAATCATCCTTGCTACCTATGTTTGGGACCGAAGTGGTCCTACCAATACAGCGGGGTTTTTATTATTTAGCTTTCGTTGAAATTTTGGGCGAAGGGTTTATATCACATTACCTAACACGGCTCCTGTGAGGAATCCTGTGTATCTACAGCGAATATTCGGACACAACTTGATGAGCTCAGTAATCCCGGGCTTCTGGGCTGGCACCAGCCGCCTGCGCCCGCCAGTGCCCGGTACCCCGCGGTGCCGTGCGTTACCGACGGCCGCCTGCACCCGCCCGACGCCCGGGACCCTGCGGTACCGTGTGTTACACCGACGGCCGCCTGCACCCGCCCGACGCCCGGGGCCCTGCGGTACCGTGTGTTACACCGACGGCCGCCTGCACGTTGTCAGATGCACCCTGAGCTGGCGGCGGCGGCAGCGACAGCGGCAGCGGCGCTGGCGACCGAGGCGGAGGCCGGGACCGAGCCGGCCGTCAAGCAGGAGGTGGCCGACGAGGCGGGCGAGCCGGCCGGCGACGCGCCGCCGCCGGACGAGCCCGCCGATGTGGACGACGACGACGAGGACGAGGACGACGAGTCCATCGCCGATCGTGCCCCCGTCATCGATGACGACGACGGCGACGAGGACGCCGAGGTGGAGGAGATCGACATGGACGTGGTCATGAACATCGAGGTGGAGCGGGTGAGAGCGACGGCGCAGCCCGGCCGGTCAGCAGGCTGGTCGCGAGGCATCGACGTGAGCACGCCCTGGGGCACGCAAAAAAATACAGTGTTTTGGTACCCTGCAGGGCTTTTGCTGTTCGTTTGTACAGTCGTGCGACGTACGCGGCGCGATGGCGACACTCGTGACGTCATGCGCCGGGCGTCACGGACCTATGTTCGGGACGCTTTTCGGCGTCGGTTTAGCGGAGGCGGACTAATGTGGGGCCTGATGGCGGCGTTCCTCGGGTCGCGTGAGCTGCCGTCACATCATGTGCATGTTGTACTCCCCGCTCTGGTTGAGATTGTGTGGAGCGTGCTCGTGTTGTCGCCGTCCACCCGTGACCGAGTGCCTGTGTGCCGGCAGCCGCGGCGCGGCAGGAAGCGGCGCCACTCGTCGCGCTCCTCCTCCATGGGCAACGAGCTGGGCGTCATGTACACGGAGGCGCTGGACGGCTCGTCACCGCGCTTCAAGTGCATGCTCTGCCCCAACACGTACTCGCGACCGGCCAAGGCGCGCGACCACTTCATCGCCAAGCACGCGCAGATCAAGCGGTTCCGCTGCACACTCTGCCCGGAGATGTTCCTCACGTACAAGCAGAAGCGGCACCACGAGCTGAGCCACACGGCCGAGGTGTGCACCAAGTGCGGCAAGAAATACCCGGGCAACAAGCGCGGCATGCTGGAGCGTCACATCGCGCAGTGCGGCGAGCTCAAGAAGTGCCGCGTGTGCGGCGCCGAGTTCGAGAGCCTCACCAACTTCATCAAGCATCGGCGCGACGCGCACGAGAAGAACGCCACTTGCGACGTGTGCGGCAAGGTCGTGAGCGCGCGCAACCTGGCCTCGCACCGCGCCATCCACTCGGACGAGCGCAACTATACTTGCCACCTGTGCGGCTCCAGCTTCAAGGCCAAGGGCAGCCTGGACACGCACCTGCGCACGCACAGCGAGGACAGACCGTTCAGCTGTGACACGTGCGGCCGCAGGTTCAAGCACCGCAACAACTGGAAGGACCACGAGCGCGGCCACCTGAACATCCGCGACTTCGTCTGCCACTTCTGCTCCAAGTCGTTCAAGCAGGCCAAGAACCTGAAGCAGCACTTGCGCCAGCACGATGCCAACCCGGAGATCTTCACGTGTCCCCACTGTCCCAGTACGTTCAAGTACAAGTACAACATGCTGGCGCACGTCAAGACGCTGCACACGGGCGAGATGGGGCGGCGCGTGCGGCGACGCATGCGCGCGCCCTCCGAGCTGGGCGGCGGGCCGGCCGGCGGCCTGGCCGGACCTGCGCACCACTCGCTGGCCGGGCTCGACCCGCTGCAGTTGTCGCCCGGCTCGGTGACGAGTGACTCCAACAGCGGCGTGCACGGCCCGCCGGCCGCGCCGCCACCGCCGCCGCCGCCGCCGCTGCCGGGCCGCTCGCTGCCGCAGCTGAACCCGCTCAACCCGAGCGTCGTGTTCATGCAGACGCTGCAGCACCACAGCATCTTCTCGTCGTAGGCGGCGCGCGCGGCGCCCACGGCGGGAAAGCGCTGCGTCGTTGTGGCGGCGCGCCGCCGGCATTTCCAAGCGGCATCGCGTGAGTGAACGGGGTCTGTCCGTGTGGCTGGGGAGCCGCGGCGCCGGGGGGCACGTGGTGACAGCGGCCCGGCGCGTGGCGCCCGTCCGCTGCCGCCACCACCACCACCCCAACTACAATCACCCCCACACCGGCTGCGGACCGCGGTTTCTCATTCATTTGCACGTGTTTGCCCAGCTGCACCGTGTGCGTGCCATTATGTAGGGGTCCGGCCGGCGGCTGGACATAGTCACATACATTCCCGGGAGGTAGCAGTGTCCACGACCGCGAGCGCCTGGCGGATACCTGAGTCGCACTGCCGCCACGTCCAGTAGTGTAGAGGCCGCGTGCCGTGCCATGCCGCGGCGCCACGCCTGGCGACGCGCCATTGAGAGGTGGCCGCGTCGCGTCGCGCCGCGCCTCGGGACGGGGCGCGCCGCACAGCGGGGTCGGTTGGCACCCCGCCAGCCAGCGCGAGCAGAGACGCGGCAGGTCGGCGGCCCCGGGGCCCAGCCGGTCTGTCGGTGCTTTAGCACGCTGCCCGGATCAGCCGGTGAACTTTTGTAACGAGCTTTGTGGCGGGCCCCAACACCCCGTGTTAAACTGCTTATGGTGGAAATGTGTTTATTTGTGCACGGTTTTGATTGGAATTGGTGGCTATATACAACGTGTGCGTATGACGTATGGGGTTACAATAAAGGTACACTAATCGGCTCCATCCGCTGGCTTTTCGGCTGCGTCATCTGCATCTCCGGCACCGGACTCGTCCGCCTTTCGCTTTTTGCTGAGTTTCTTGGTCTTCTGCCGCGATTTGTGGTCTGCAAGACAGGCGGCAGGTGAGCGCGGCGGAGCCCGGTCAGTGCAGACCACGCCGTCTGCAGTGGAGCCTCGGCGGTCTTTCAAGAACAGCGTGAGATTGGCTACCATGACCATCGTTTCAGAGATCTGCCGACTGAAGCCACGTTTGGTTACACCATAACCTGCAAAGGTCATGTACCCAGCCTGTCGCCGCTCACGCAGGAGCGGTGGCGGCACCGGGATTGGCGCAGCAACAAGCTGAGTCAATCACAGCAAGCAATCACCGGGGTACCGACAGTGTGATGATGAACACGTTTGCGCTAACCACTGCGCGTCTGGGAGACCGGAGGTACGGGGATCGATTCCTCGCGGTGCCGGCCCTTCCTGCCAGGGTGAGAGGCAGGTGACGCCATGAACCCTCAGCAGCTGAGTGCGTCGTAAAGCCCCAGTCCCCCCCCCCCCCCCCCCACTCCCAAGCCACACAGTCACCTACTATCTGCTGATGATAGCACCCGCTGCCCCCACTGCCGTGATCCGTTAAACAGTCGACTGTCATGACCTAGTTGGGACATGAGTGCGGTTCTTTGAACGGAATACCCCAGATCTTGCACCGACATGTTCGGTAGCGACTCTCAAGCTGTCGGAGCTGAGGAGCTTTTTCAGTTTCTATCTGCCCTGGGTTTTGCTGTCATGTTTACTCCATTGCACCACGCTGACTCACGGTCGCTCAGATTGACGGTGTTTCAAAATCCCATTTCGACTGCGACTGTGCCTCAGGACTTTAGTTATGTGCGCTGTATGACCGTTTGCGGTCGGCGCGTCTAAAGGTCAATATCATCACGCTATGCACGGGTATTACTTTTACAAACGCGAAGTATGGGCCGTAAGCGTGGGTGCAATCATAGGCGGCAGTTGCGCATTTTTTGTGCGTTTTTCCGATGAAGCCAGTACAAAGCAACGATTGGAGTTTACAACCGCAACTGATTTGCCACCCGGTGACTTACAAATACTGAATTGCAGACGTGCATTGCGGATCGATACAGTCCATTCCTCAAGCAGGTGTGATTATATGCACGAAAATACAAACCGCCGAAAAGCCGATTCATTTACCTTCAAGGAAGTGCTCCACACTTCAATGGGGTTTTGAACTGAAACAACCATCTTGAAGACCTTTCGGTACAGTCAACAGCCCTACCCTGTGTAAGACCTAAGCATCTCTAGTTTCCGAGCTATACGCCCACGAAAATGGGGAGGCTATTTTGGGGAGGGCATTTTAAGGCCACTTGACATTCATGACGTCATAATAACTTCATTCAAACCCTGCCATTTCATCAGGCATACGGCAATCAAGACCGAAAAAGTGTACAAGTATAATGGTCGGGTCGTTCATATCTGGCGTTCGCGAGCACGACTTCCTGATACAACGGTCGTCCATTGGATCTCAATGTCAAGCAAGGCACGATGACGCAATCAACCGATGATGTATCGAGAAGCATAATTACTAAACAGGGGAATTGTGTTGTCCAGAGCAGTCCTTTGTGCTTAAAAGTATATCACCGGTCACAAGTGAGCTTGTTTCATCACATCCGACACTTGCTTCAATGTCTTCAAACGTGAAACGTCCCCTATTAACCCACCATAAGCATGGGTCCGCGCGCCGTTTACAGCATTGGCATAACATTTAATACTTAACAGTTGCTGCCATATTAGGGGACAAATGAAGCCACAACCTCACCACAGCTCATGAGTTACAAAGCCATTTGAAAGATAACGGCGCATGAAAATAACGCGTATGTTTTGACTTACAGCAACACAAGTAGGTGCAGAACTAACAACATATTTCACGCGTACTCTCGAATTCCGAGACATTGACAAGCAACTACCCTATGATAACTGATCGGAAGTTTTCGTATTGCGCCCTTGGAAAAATTTCGCCGGCCCAACAATGATCGATACGCATTTGAGCAAAAGACCCCTAACGTAGCCTAAAATTTACTTCACTTCATAATTTTTTCTCAACGTTATCTGCTACCAAATGGAGTATCAAAATCTGTCGATTTCATATCTCAACGTGAAATCCCAGGAGTGGGGGTCGCCTGTGGATATCCTAATAACACACGAAGCTGATGGCCGAATCTGGACATCTTAATATGAAGCGTTACTCGCTGTCCAAACACGTGTCCGGTGTAGATCACGCGGAATGCCTCGCTGCAACGTCCGGCAGCATCGGCCTGACTGCACGGCCGAGCTCTCCGTCACTCCGCGCACTGCGGCCTTATGTGATTACGGAGAGGGGCAGCTCTACCCACAACCACTGCGGGTAATTATCGGCAGACCGACCATGCGTGCACAACGACCCACAGCTCGTTATGTTCTGAGCAGTTAACAGCGGACGACGGGTCTCCAGACGGGGTAAAGCTTTCAAGTTCTGCTCAAACGGTGATAAGGAGACCTATACCGTGATTAGAGCGAGGACCTGTCTTTGGCGAACGGCCCGCGATTTGAATGATTCAAAAATGCTTTATCAGTTCAAGGCAGCATTATGATATGATAACTGAGGTAATTTTAATGATGGTGTTAGGTAAATATGATGATATGATATAATATAACATAAGGTTAAGCTGGCATACGTTCATTAAGCTGACATAAGGTTAAGCTGGCATAAGCTGGCATACGCTGGCATGCGCTCAATCTCGATATTTGATATATTATACACACACGCACACGCACGCATACACACACGCACGCAAGCACCCATGCACGCACGCACGCACGCACGCGCGCACGTACGCACGCACGCACACACACACACACACACACACATGCATATATACATATATACACATATTGATCAATCATATTGTTTATTGCTTACACACCTGTATACGTATTTTTTACTTTAAAGGATAAAAATGTGCACTGCTATTGGAAAACATCTTCTGGTACGGAGAACACGAATGAAGCATAACTAAATGAAGTAAGACCGAGTCACTTTGATGCATAAAAGAAACACTCAAAATGGGAATACCATAAAGACACAATGAAAACACTATTACCACAATCACATCAAAAGTGCTCACCACCCACCACCTACAGCGTGTGCGTGTGCGTGTGCAACACAGGGACGGCTTGGCATTGGATCTTGATTTTGTGACATGACATGGCATTCATAAAGACACCGAAACGTGTGAGTGGACACAAACTCAGCGTGTCCTCGTAGATAACCGGGCCCGAGCTATGGTGAGCTCGAGTATCCGGCCAAGTGTCATTTCGGCTTCCGCAGACACGTTAGCTATGCTACGATGACATGAAATATGCGATCGTGAAAGAGTGAAAAAGATCGCTGCACGTCCTGTAGCGGGCGTCTAAGATACATTTAAACACCGTTCAGCACTGCAACTGGTACGGTCGAGGAGGAACAAAGGGAAGTATTAGGCGCCAACACAGGCCTCCACCAACGCTTATGACTACGTCGGTATGACCTACGATTTCCTGGACGCAGCGGTCTTCATTTCAAACATCGCCTTGATGTTTTATTCGAAAGCTCTGCAACTTGAGTAAGTTTTAACATACATAAACACAGAAAGCAAAAGGCCTAGAAAAACCTGAATCGCCTAGAACATCTCACGATTTAACCTGGCCAACTAGGTATGCGTTAAAGTGGCTTCCAGAAATAGCCGATGAGATATACCTCAAGCCCTCATGACCGTACAAAACGCTTTGATGCTTCCAGCGCGTAGCTAGATAACTTGACAAAAATGCCCACCGGTGAATGGCAGTCCAGCTTCGACAGCTGCGGGGGAAGACAGCTTGGCGGGAAGGGGAAGGAGAGGACAGCGGGCCATCAACACCGGGGTGGACAGGTGAGCGAGGCAGGGGGGACAGGCATGTCCCCGTTCATGTCCCGATCTTGCGCTCCGCTCGCGCGGGGAACGCTCACTTCCCGTGCACAGCACAGATACGACAGAGACACTGATACACATCACCGCCGCCCCAGCGACGCACCAGCCGGCCGGCGCCTCGGCCCTCACTGCATCCCAGCGTGAGTGAAGCGGCGCTATCAGTGGGAAGGCCCGAGCACGTATGACTGCCAGAGGACACGCAAGGTGGACGTGATGGCAGACGCTGTGGGCACGCACCTTCGAGCGCCTCCTTGAGCGGATCAGGCAAACTCCTCAAAGTCCATCTCCGACAAGGCCGAGATCACGTCTGCTCCACTCACGGTTTTCCGTTTAGCTCTGCTGCGCCTGGTGACAGACGAGTGTACCATTAGTACGCAGCGCCGCCACCTCCAACCGCCCTAAGCCATCATTCGGGTCTGCCCCGGAGGAACGCGGGGGTGGGGCGGACTCGCGCCATGGATCTGGTGCGGACGCCGCAGAAAACACCGCGACAAACATACGACCGACGGAACCGAGTCAGTCATGGGTGAAAACGCACACGGCATGGCAGATCCACACCCAAATACAGTAGACTTCATGCAGTCATTCTGCCCGTCCACAGCGCGCCATACTCACAATCGTGTTGGACTGGGATGTCAGGTAGAGCACGAAAACAGAGGCCGCCCGACAGACGGACTGGCGGGCCTCTTTAGAGACGCTGCACCCCTCTGGGAGGGCGTCCTTCATCAGACGCGCCACCACAGCAGCCGGCAGGTTCAGGTCTTCAGGTCGCTCGGCCATAGTCAATCGTACAGGTACCTTGGGAATAGGATACCGTATGAAGACGACCTTCATTTTCATGAAGGGGTCTTTGCCATCGCGTGGGACTAAGCGGACTTGAATAACAGACTACACACTGTCGACCTTTCTCGCTTCAAACGTGAACGGCTTTGCTTCTCCGCAAACACCTCAGAACCAAACCTTAATTAAGTAGCTTAAAAAATTGCAATGTGAAAATCCCGATATCGTGTCAACCCGAGTCACCCCCAGGTCACACCTGTCTCTCCGAGTCACCCCCAGGTCACACCTGTCTCTCCGAGTCACCTCCAGGTCACACCTGTCTCTCCGAGTCACCTCCAGGTCACACCTGTCTCTCCGAGTCACCCCCAGGTCACACCTGTCTCTCCGAGTCACCCCCAGGTCACACCTGTCTCTCCGAGTCACCCCCAGTCACACCTGTCCTCCGAGTCACCTCCAGGTCACCACCTGTCTCTCCGAGTCACCTCCAGGTCACACCTGTCTCTCCGAGTCACCTCCAGGTCACACCTGTCTCTCCGAGTCACCCCCAGGTCACACCTGTCTCTCCGAGTCACCCCCAGGTCACACCTGTCTCTCCGAGTCACCCCCAGGTCACACCTGTCTCTCCGAGTCACCTCCAGGTCACACCTGTCTCTCCGAGTCACCTCCAGGTCACACCTGTCGCGCCTGCGGCTTTGAACTGCAGTCCACGTTTAGCCTCTGCCTGTCGCACAGTGCGACGGCACCAAATGCCAGCGAACAGTGAAGAGCCTGCCAGTGAAGCGGGGCTGAGTTCGGCCATGTTCGTGCCGCGCGCAATGCTGCAACCCCTCAGCCCCGCTGCCAGCCGCGGCCGCGAGCCGGCTGACCTTTGGTGCCAGCTGTGCCGAACAATGCACCCTGTCTGAGTCACGGTCAGAACGACGCTCGACTGTGACACTCAACACCTGTCAACAGGGGCGCAACCACCACCGGGGGTGGCGGGGTTCCCATCCCGGTCACCTTTGGGAAGATTGAATTTTTGTGCTGTGGCCACATAAAAGGACACCAAAACAGCAGTGGACCCAGTAACCTTTCAGGCATGGCTACCTCATGTCCATCACAGGCCACGGCGACGAACTAATGCCCCGTCTTCATTTTTTACTGTTCTTGTCGTTTCGGGTGTCTGGTCGGCGTTGACTTGACACACGCAACTCGAGAAGTCTCACACAAACATCAAAGATGTGAACCCATGCCAAATGTGAACCCATGCCAGGCCGTCCTTACCGTCCGTAAGGATGGCCTGAGGCGAAGAGAGCACGCCAAGAAAATTACTACTAGGTCAGAGCCCAGACATCACTACTTTAGGAGAAAATCCCAGATAAATAGCCATTTTGCTTTCGGTCTTTTCAGTGATGCAGGACCCTCGGCGAATCCTCTCGTGCTGCGCCAATTTATGACGCTGCCGTCCATCCTTGTCTGGCGATCCGTAACATTTTCACATCGGTTGGAGCAGATATCGTGCGTGCTCCTAGACGGCTAACTAGTGCCGCTGGATTAAAAGTACAACGCCTGCCTCCAATGTTTTCCCCTTTATGTAAGGCAATGATATCAGGTGATTGCTTCAATAACTTTGACAATAATATTAAATCTCCAGCTCCGAGAAAGACCGCAGATCAAGGCAATCCCGGCTAAAAGATAAAGCTAATATTCATAACATTGTGGAAAAGTATGGCAACGGTGTATTTATTGAGAACTGTCTATAGGTAACTTAAGTAATTACGCGACGAGCTGCCATCGGCCTTTTGCCAGGCGATGCAAGCTCTTGCAGCAGCTTCTGTTGTGATAATTTAACATCCCGGCTCTCGTCGACGAACATGGTAGCAGCCTCAATGCCGACCATACATTGAAGCCAACAGAAAACAGAAATAGAATTGATCGGCTGTAATGATTGGTTGGTCGTATATACTGACTGACTGATCCCATATGCTGATGATAGATGAGCGTATACACTGATTGGATGCACTGGGAAGCCGAGCTTCTCGGCACGAGTCCCGCTGTTATCTGACGCCACAGTCACAGATGTCTCGAAATACCGACGCCAAACAGATCCAGAACGCGTCTTGCTTTGCCACAAAGCGAATGCACTTACAGATTCAGTCCGTGTGAGTTTACAACGGCGAAAACGACCAATGTTGTCCAATCATCAAGGCCCATAATGCCTACGGCATCACCGCCGCCAAGACGTGGAGGTAAAAATGTGTCAATACGTTTTGTTTATTCTACGACGCCTGTGACTGCTCGGGCCATTCCCGTCACAGCCTGTCACGCTGCCTGCAGCGAGAGCAAAACAGCTGATACGAGTGCCGAGCCTGCGCCTTCACGGTTAAACATCGGACATACTGCACACAGTTTAAGGGATCGTCCTGCTCTGGTAGCACGTGTTCGGGCATATTTAAATATTTGAGCGCTTTTGGTGAATTGCAGCGTCCTTTTATCGTACCAGTTAAGGCATGTGACCCTGTAAAGACGGTTTATCCTTCGAAGCCCGATCATACTCCTATACAATATGCCGGACGGCGACCTTCCGCACGCACGCGGAACTCCTGTGCACCTGAGCAGAAGTTGTCACGAGGTTTTGTTATGCCCAGTAACTTCTTTTAACCTGATTCAGGTACTTGTAGGCTGCGTCCGCCACTGTCAGCACTCCACATGCCATGCGCAGGGTTGACATCTCCGCGGCAGGAAAACCTCTCGGTTTTGCGGACTACCTTCTAGACCACATTCAGAGTATTAGCATCGCTGATGGAATGCACAACATCAAACATACTTGGGAAAAAGCTTTCCAGCACAGCTAAGCTCATCAAGGGCTCGGCCCTGGCCTCTGCTGTATTCCATCTTGGCAAGTGATCTCTGTCTGCTATCAGTTAGAAAGGCATGTAAAATGCATCCCACCATGCACCAAAATCTCATCCTTGCACATTCAGTGTTTTATGTTGAAGGCCAGAAATTGCTTGCTTGCAAGCTTTTTGGCACTAGCTAAAAGGTGTGAGCAGTGTACAAGCAAGGCAAAGACCATTCCCTGCACAGATCTCAAATGACCATGTGCAAGCAGCTTTTCTGCCTGCCAGTGGCTATATTTATGATGCACCAGACATAACTAAGAAGCCTTTCAGTGCAAATGAAATATCATTGCCACCTGCAGCATAGCTTAGAATTACTTAAGCCATTGCACATTGGTGTGTGTATGTGCTCTACACTAGTTTACAGAGTCTTGCACCCATTTGTTATGAATCATGATGTGAACTAAAACAGCTGCCAGTTCATTGTGGATCACCAAACCAAACATATGTATTTCCCTAAGTCTTTTTATTAATCTTTTTTCATCCTACTAAACCATAGGCATGTCCTCTAAGTGGACAGCTGAATTGCTCACTTCAAGTGCAGCAATTATGAGCCATTAAAATGCAAACATTAGTTATTTACATATGCAGCTAAATTGGCAGAAAACCTTATAACATTTCATCTGCATGCTGCCCATGATGCTTTGAAATGAGACCTTTGCTGCTATTTCAATCACAGCATAACAACCAAGATAGAATGACCCACTTTTTGATACACCCACAAAATACAAACACATTCTTCACATTGTCAGGCTTAGTTGCCACACAGCCCATCATGAATGCTATTAGCCTGCAGCTGGCCTTCAACATTAGCTGCATGAAACACTTTGTTGAGGAGATCATAGTTTTCCCACAAACCACAGGCATTGATTTTCAATACCTAATTAACTGATGGACAAACTACAATTCAAGCAAATAATTTATGCCCTCGCCACGGTAGGTCACATGGGACGTATTCATACACATGATGTGCTGACACAAGTTCCCATTGCTATTTCTGTCCCCTTTTTCTGTAGTCATGACGTGCCATGTGATGGCAGCACCAATGTGTGCCATCAGGCCAGTCATCAAAAATTTCATCCACTGTGCTGGATGCTCATTTTGGATACCTTTGCTATAACAAACATGCATTGTAATTCTTACCACAATGTTGCTATGCTTGGTATATTCAAACATGTAGTTTCTGCAGTTTGGATATCAGGCCAGCATGAGTTAGCATCCTTGTTGCAATTACTTTGCACCATCTTTAGAAGAGCAGCACTATATAATGGGTCAAACCTGATAACCATCAACAGATCCTTTCCTTTTAAGATAGCCAGCGTGGTGAAAATTCTATTATGGCTGCTACACATGCAGCATGGTGGGCAGACACATGCATGAGGCAACTATAATCCATAAGATTCAGATAACTACACTTCAGATCTAGATATAAAAAATGCATTCATCTGTCTAAGCAATTAATCCTCAATGTATGTATCATTCATATCTGCAAATGCTTCAATACCTTGGAAGGCACCCATTCATCTGAGCAATTAATCCTTAAGGTATGCATCATCCAGATCTGCAAATACTTCATTATCTTGGAAGGCACCCATTCAAATGTAGCTTCAACTCAAATTTTGGTAGTACTCAGCAAGTATGTGTACATCTGACTGACAAATATCATCACCAAAATATCCAAAACGATGAAAGGTTTTCCAACACTTCATTTGGCACCGCCAAAATGGAAGCATTACCCCAGATAATTTCTTAGAGAATCATCCCAGATATTTTTTAGGCAGAATTCCAGAAAATTTTCAGTGCAGGCCAATATGGAGAATCCATTTTTGATACGCATAGCCATGACCATTGGATATGCAAAGCACACAGTGGGGGTAACTTTCGGACGGGCCAAAGCAAATCGAGAAACTCCATGCATGATGATCGGAGAGATAATTATCTGTTGAATAATTTTCCCTCAACCAAAAGCCCCCTAGATATTTGTATGTTGGACAAAACCTTGCTGGCCGCCAATCGGTACTATGGAAGTTAATCAAAGCACACAGACATATTCAATCACATCTACAATGACACCTGAATGTCAAAACCCTGAACCGCAAGCCTACCGCGGGATCCTGACACGAACAGAAACAACACGATGAACTAGAAATCGCGCGCGACCTTTCTCCAGCATACACCGAATCTGCTTCCTCCACGCCGTAAATGTCTTACGGTGGTAAAAAGGATAATAGTACTAAATATGTAGGGCTCGAAAGTCATGTTTGTATTTATGCAAAGCATGCTGATTTCCGTATATACGCAGAGCAAACTTGACACAAAATTTGTCCAAAACCTAGCAGGACATTTTATGACGCTTAAATACATGGCTTTTACCTGCCTGAATTTTGTGTCAATAAAGCTAGAATAGCCAGCTCGTGTTCGATACATGGGGCATTGCACGCCCTCGCTGGCTGTTTACCGTGCAGCTAAAGATGATATCGTGTATTTTTACTATATTTTTGTATATTTGACCAGGTGAAGCTATATCAATGTCCTAAAAAGCTTACAGTAAGTATTCTATGCAGCTTTCATCATTAGTAGGGAGAAGATCTGGACAAGCTGCAAATTTAGTTCACATTAGCATATGATATATTACCGCAAGCAAGGCTCTATGTTTTTTTCTGAAACCAAAACAATTAATTTTTAGAACCAATGAGCTGGCAGCGGTTTGCTGGGCTTGGATAAGGTTGAATTCATTTAGTGCTTATCTTCCTGAAATTGGGGTTTGAAACAATACCAAGAAACTTTTGAATATGTTACCGCAATATTCTTAGCTCCTGTAAAATGAATGTAAAATTGATTAACTAGGCTTGGAATATTTCTGAAATATATTGCACTCCAAATTAAAGCTAGTTACGTGATTATCTAATCTCCTTGCCTGCATTCTATTTTATGAATTTCACCAGGAGTGACGAAAAAGAAGCACTGGCATCGGAACGGCGGCGAGAGGCGGCGCCGTGGATGGTCGTATTCGTGTATGTGTGCGTGAGAAAGAAAGGATTGTGACAGACAGGGACATATAGTTCACGTCATTGGATGCAAGTGAGCAACAATGAAAGTCATTTTGTAACTCTCAGGAGGGCTTTTACATGCTTTTAAGAGACGCATGTAGGACTCAAAGCAGATTTGCCGATGCGTGTTTCCCCGGACTATGGGTGCTAGCCAGGGCAAAGAAAAATCTGTGAGTGCTGTGGGTGCGGCCGCCAAACCGAAGACCTCGAAATATCGTCAATCAAACAGGGATTTAGGAGAACAAAGGCTACCTAATCGAAGAAATGTCTTCACTGAACACAATGGTAAGTTAATGTGAGCTGGTTTATAATCAGGGCTGTTTTGTGCTTTTTGCACAGCGGGCTGTCATGTTTTGTTTTGTGTGTTATTATGGTGTGGAACAAGGGTGCTTTTGTTTCAGTTGTGTAATGTTATGTTTTTGAAACACCTAAAGTTCAAAGCATGGTCATTTTCTTTCCAAAATTGAACATGGTTTCACATCCAGTGATGTTAAGATCTGGTTTTGAACATAACAAATTGCTTCATTGTTGTTGTTTGTCCATCAGGAAGCAGAATTAACAGATGCTGCTGCATTTCTAGATTACCTATCATGCTGTATAAAACACCAACATAAGCCAATCTGAAAACCATGGGAGATTTTGACAAGATCTCATTCAGGCAGGGGTGGCTCACACCCAATTTAGGGCAACTTAACAATACTATTTGGCAGAAATTATTGAGTTGGAGCATTTCAGGAATTATCATCATGTGGTCCGTGAACATACAAAACTGGCGAGGTCATAGACAGTTACCACAGCTGGTGATACATGATGTGTTTGGGAGGATGTAGCATTCACAATGAGGTCTGAATCAGGCTGCCCAATACCCCATTTGGGGCATGATATTGTCTGCCCCAAGCATGTTATTGGCATTCTGCCATGATTTATTGACTGGAACATAAGGGAATGATAGTTGTTATCACATTTTGTCAAAACATGTGCATGTGGTGTGTCTAGTGCTATGACAGTCACTATAGAATATGCCAGTCTGTGGCTAGTGTCATCTCTGGGTGATTACATGATCCAGTTATTTGTTTATGGAGCAGTTTTTATCTCATGTAAATACTTTGTGATTTGATCTTATTTGTGTATCAAAAGTGATTAAATGACACCTCCTGGAATGTTTGTAAAAGGCAGCTAGTACATGTTGTTCACAATGCTACATTAGAGGAATCTGACATACCCCATCTATATGTTAGTTGGTTTTGAAAGCTTACTGAAGGGGTGCTATGGGCACCAAATAACCATAGTACTTGGCACACATCAAGACCCTCAATCAACATCAAAGGGTGTTCTTGGGTTTTGTTTGCTTTAAGGAGTGGAATTTCACCAGCAGTCAACAGTTACAACCACCTTGGCCACATGTTTTTTTAAGGCTTGTTCTCCCCACCAGGATATCCTTATTTATAAGGTCTTGTCTGGGGTTTTGAATGTTGATCTTTGTTCTGGGAAAGGAAACATTTCAAACTTCCTCAATGCCATATGTGCCACCTGTATTGGTAAAATTCCAGTGTGCTCACAATAGTAAGTTGAATATTTTAAAGCAGCCTTTTATGATATTTGATTTGTTTGGGAGCATTAGTTTCCATGAAATATGAATGCCTGTAAGGTACCCTGTTCTACACAACACCTGGAGAATGCTGTGAACTTGGTTTTTACAAAGGTATTCTAATATTTTACTCAATATGAATGCACCCAGATAGCCTTGTTTTCACTTGGAGCATGATTTGACTCATTGTTAACTTCTTCTTTACTACTGCACGTGACTTAAGTATCATGCACATTTGGTCATGCATTCCCTAAAAATAGAGATGGACATGTTTCTCTCATAATGCATGCTATGTTGAGATCTATGGTTAACTGTGTTTACATGAGTTCTCATGGGGCCCTTCTCTGTGCCATGACCAATGTCTTATTTGACTGAAGATAGCTGGTGTGCTATACTGCCTGACATGTGGTCTGGGTCAGGCAGTAGGTTCCCAAGTGATAACCACCTATAGCCTGAAAACTAATGCCTGGAAGCTGAACAGTTTAGGGATGCATGTTGCTAGTCACCATGCTTTTATGTTGGTGGGAAAGTGACTGCTGCCATGTTGCCTGAAACTGACTTGTGGGCTGAATTTATTGACTGTCTAAGTGTAAATGTGCAATTGTTCACAGGCAAATGACTAAACACTTTTTCAATTATTTACAAGCAACTGTAAATGCAGCCCAAGCAATTGATTTGCATTTCATCCCTCATCATCCTTATGTGTTTAAGTCTGGCTATTTAATGCTTTAAAACTTATTTATCATTAGGCAGTCAGGGCTGCACTGTCGTGCCCATGTGGCTGTGGCCAGGGCACATAGCAGTTGTGATTGTGACTGGATGGCTGCATGCCAGTAATTTGAGACCAAATTCATAATGGATCAAGGTTGTGATATGTCATGCTCCCTCACTCTATAATAGAACAGCACTGCATGTCAAATGAAACTGCATTGGCATTGCTTTTCTGAGATTATGTTTAATAGCTTATAAAGGGATCTTGGATGTAAGCATTTAGAAGGCTCAGAGGAAAGGCATGGAAGCAGATAGATTCAGCTATTTTTGTTGCAAAAAGGGCATTTTGTGATTCTGGTTTAGAGATGGGGAAGGCCTGTGTGTGGCTTACAGTTGTACACTTAAGCTACCTGTCCTTGCACCTCTTACACAATACATTTTGTTGTGCTGTAATAGCATTTATATGTTTTAAGCAAGCAGGTCTAAAACTGCTGGGGGCTTATCTGAAAATACATGTTTTGATGTGTTATTATTTGAGATATACAATACATGCACATTGGCAAGTGTGATGAAAAAGATGGCATGTGGTTCTGTTTCAGAACCAGTATATTTGAATGTTTGGTGTGCTTTCCAGTTATCAGTGATACAGTAGGTGCGCTTTTGTGATCAATGGCTACAGGTGATGACATGAACCATTTCTAATATCAGTACTTTTGTGGTCTAATTTTACTGAGGCTGCTTGACAGATGTTCCCAGTTGGGTTAACATGTCATGTTATCAGAATGGCAGTAGTGATGCAGGCACTGTCTGGTTTAGAATATATGTCATTGTAGTTGTAATTTGGCACCAAGGAACAAAATGATTATGGGTTATCTGTGCATGCTGAAAAGAAAGCAAACTGCAACACAGGTAGTTGGTTATGATGCTCCAGAGACATGTGTAAGTACTGGCAATGAACCAGTAATGTGTTCAGTGGTGGCTGTAGTAATTTGACAAGTGTTACCAGTGATACAGCTTTCAATGTTGCATGCAGTGTTGGCAGTAAAATATAGGAAGCTCAAACTTGATGGCATCAATTTAAGACTGGTTGGTTCTACAACCTCAGGTAATTAATGCTGGTTACATTAATATTTTCCCACTCCTGGACATGTCATGTGTACAGCTGTACTGTATGAGGAGTTGCCATGATTATCCATACAGTACAGGGACTCATATCTTAAGTCATGGCAGCCTTGTTTGCTTTTGTTTTTCTGGGCTGCTGAACTGTTCATAGATGCATGCTACAGCTTACAAACGCGACAGGACACTGTACGGTGTGCATCGATCAGGCCGCACTCGCTGGGCTCTGGGACCCGGACGCCGCCTGCCTCGGATCTCAGGGCACCTTGAGATCCGAGGCCTTGGTGGCCGTGACCGACGCACAGGATCGCCGAGGTGCGCCTCAGGGCAGGGCGCCGATTCCGCTGAATGGCGCTGTGCACTTACCGAAGTGGTCCAGCCCGGGTCCTCGTACCGGAGTCGCGCTCGCGGGGCGGCCGGGCCGCTGCGGCTTGGCTGAGGTGGGGTAACATGGCTGACCGGCAGCTGGTGGGTCAGTGGTGGCCGTTGAAGGTGCGGTGCCCAGCACCAGACTACCCACTGACTAGATCAGACCAGACTATCCAGACTATCCACTGCATGCCACCTGCGAGAGGTGCCGCAGAGCGGATCGCCTCTCGCCGTGACCAGGCGGGTCCTGGGCGACCGCTGGGGACTGGCTGGCCACGGCCGGCCCTCTGATCGCCGCTGGCCGATCGGCAGCGGGCGAGGCGGGGTCGCTGACAGTGCCCGTGACCCGAGGTCATGAGGAGGTGCCGGCCCTCTGATCGCCGCTGGCTGATCGGCGGCGGCGAGGCGGGGCCGCTGACGGCGCCCGTGACCCGGGGTCAGGTTGAGGAGGTGCCGGCCCTCTGGACACCGCGGGCCGATCGGCACGTGGGCGGCGCCGCCTGGGGCGGACTGCGGACGGGAAGCGATGTGGAACATGACCGGGCCACCGACGTCAGTGAAGATGAGAAGTGGCCGCCTCGTTAGGAACGGCCAGCTCGCCACCGACGTCGCATGGTAGCTGCTGTTCACGGACGCCGTGCTTCCTGGCATATTCAGATCAGCAACATATCATATCATGTCATGTCATATATCATATCATATCAGCAAGATCAGCTATTGCCTCGTTGGACTCCCCATCTGCTGACAAAAGGCTGGGTGACATAACGGGTGATGGCACAAACCTCCCCGTCCACGTGGGCGCCCTGTGTATCACATGTCTGCCGGCCTTCCCTTTGTCCGGGTGCGGCGTGGTTCCGACGAGGCGTTCTGATGACACCGACCAGATAAGGAGCACTAGCAGTGAGGATTTGTGCGGGATCCCGCACAAATCCAGATCCGGACTCGCACTATCTGCTGAAGCTAGTGGGCTGCCTCGCCGCCCGTTTGTGGCGCGTGTTTTTCACATCCGTACGCCGCTGTCACTCGCACTTCGTTTTGATGATGATTTGCAGTTTAGGGCGCGACAGCTACAAATGGTCATACAGCACCTATGCACTTTTTTTACTTTGGGGTAGTCCCCCGTGGTCATAGTTTAGCTCCCACCGCACCTTCCTCTTTTGTATCTACCCATGTATTTCTCTATCTCCCTTCTGTCTGGTCCTTATGTGTGTACCCTGTCTGTCAACATATCGTCTTTCTCCTAGTAGTAATGTTTCCTACTGTATCACGCCCTTCGCACCGTTTCTCTCCTCCACCAGTATATTCCTTGATTTCTCTCCTCCTGTGTTGTGTCTCTTTTCTCCTTCCCATTTGTCTGATTTCAGCCCTCTCTCCCTTCTGGTCATCTCTTACTGTCGCTGGTTTCCTCTTATTACCTCGTCGTGTTGCCAACCTTCTCCCGCCCGTCCCCTCGTTCCGTCACGACGCGCCTCTCTCTCTCTCTCTCTCTCTCTCTCTT